TGCAGTGGCACTAATCCTAAGTGAGCTACGACGTGAATACTGACAGAGCAGGTCGAAACCAAGTTTGCTCACCCTGAATTCCATGGATCGTACCCTATCTGACAGAAACCAACAACACACTCGACGAAAACAATAAGCCAAAAGACATACTATGAGATTTGAAAAGTTGCAATCAGTTGTGTTGTTCGGTATTATATCTGTGCAAACAAAATTAGTTTGAAGGCTAATGTGGAATTGGTAGGTAGAATATTTGTGAGGAAATTTGAATGAAGTTGCATGCGGTAGACAATGGTGTGAATCATTCTAGCCAGTGTATTTTCCTGAGCAGTTACAATAAGACCAGAGACAGGGACGGGAACCGCAGTGCTCCCAGGAGGCATTAAAAACCTGATGTATATCCAGTTAACTTTTTCTCTAGGCGGTGGTTTTGCTTTGCAAACAAAGGATTGTTTAGGACTCAGAAGAGGGTTGTGAATCCGTCCAGAAAGATTATATGTCCTCCTTCATAACCTCTCATGATGTTCTCATCCGTGCACACTGACGTCGCTGCGGCTACTCGCTGATGCCTATAATCCACTTGGGACAGTGTGTTTTGCACGTCAAATGACCTAGGATACGGTCAATAAGATGATATTTGTTGAGTTGAATTACACAAGACTGTGAGTGTTCTAATCAATTACCTACGTGGCCGTGATGGTTAAAAGGCAATTTAGCGCGAGGAATAGTGTGGCAGAAGCGGTGGTAGCAACTGCTACGACCATTAAAACTTGTTTCGTGACAATAGGGTGGGAAACAAGTTGATAGCGTCCGCCTAGAACCAGCCAGGTGTTTATTTAAGCTTGAATTTCTTGCTGAAATGCGGTCATTTCGCTAAATAAGTACACAAATGAATTTTCAGTCACTAACCCTGTAGCGAATGCTGGCCTCCTACATCATGAGTATCACCCAGGGCGCCTTTTTTCGTCACTGAATTGGAAAGGAAACATTTCAACGTTATTTAGGCACTGAAGTTCAAAGAAAATCCAGCAATGTGTTCCGGGGGCTGCCACGAACATGTTCATGGGTGTACATATCTTATCTTTATCAATATGACTTTTTAAGGCTGACTGAATCCTGAATCTGCGTAATATAAGTTGCTGACTTCAACAGTTATTTGAAATTAAGACTCACTCGGTCGTGAGGAAGTTAGCAGCATATCGTGTGAAGTAGGCACAACGAACTTGACAATATATTTGAAAGCAAGGGGAGCAGAATAACTGACAGCGTGTGATATTTTGGAATGTTAGGGAATACTGAAGGTAAATACAGGAATATGTGGGACTAAAACGGCTAAACTACATTTCACACACTCCAGGATCTTTAAGTATGTTACTGCAATTGACTAAAACTTTGGTTAACTTCACGCACACCTACTGGGCCGTCATGTCTCTAGTTCCGCTCGCATATCCCTACTGCACACTTCAACTTTTTATCCTCAGTATACCTTGATTTCAGCCAATGCTCGCAAAGCGTTCATCCCTGTCAATCCGAGATGGTGACCACTTATTTTTGCTGAACATAACACTTAATTGCAGTCCATGTCTTTTCACTTCACTTCACTGTAAGACAAGAATAAGTTGTATGTACAAATGTTTATTGTACATGTATCAAAGGGGGCTTTCATGTTGCGTTGTAGCTGCTACGCACCTATTGCTGTGAATGTTTGTCAACCACATCCTTCTTCATTTGCTTCACTCGACATATTTTCGTGATAAACTTCTCTTCTTTCTGAGTGGACACGGCACCAATTCTTGAACTGTTATGTATGATGCGTCAAACTGAAAACTAGCCTCAATTCCTTCCTTTGTAGTCTGCAATCAGTATATTTCTTCTTCGCATTGCGTGATCAGAATTTCATTTTTCTCTCATCTCCCACACATTCAAGGTAGCAGCAGTTACTCGGAAGGTATAATATCTCTGTCGTTCCAAATTTCTGGAGGCGGTGACAAAACCTGTGAACATTACAAACGACTTCCATTACAGCACATGAGGGACATAAAAAAATACAGTGCAGTCAACCAATACCGGGGTCTCATCAGTCTTGCAAAAATGATGATTTAACTAGAATCAAAAGGTTAGGATTCGAGTTACCTCCCATGAAGATGAATATAATTTGTATATAAACTTATTCATACCTGTAAAAATGGTATGTGCCTGTATATCCAAGAAGAAATATTATTATTATTAATCTGCTGAGGCGTCAGGCGGTTCCCTGAGTTGCGAAAGTGTTTGTTTTACCTGGGGGAGTCCGTCTGTTGAAAGCTGGCACTTTATATCGTCTCTCTGGTGACAAATAGCCATATCATAAGAGTCGCTAGATCAGTCATCTTTAGATCAAAAAGTTGTACTGTCACCGCACAAATTAACCCACTCTACTACAGACCAATGAATAAACTGCTTCTATGAGTAATTTTGTCACCTAATGGGATTTATTATTAGTCTTTTGTTTCCACCACTAATACCTAAACCAGGTAGTGATTACATGGTACCGACGCAAGTTAATTTACACAGGATTCGTCACGCGTTAAGTAATAACAACAAAACAAGTCTTTGACGGACCTACTGTTTGCTCTTTACCCAAAAATAAGTTTGAATTTCAGGACAGTGGAGTGCTTCCACCAAAGGACATTTCAAAAGATCTGATTCCAATTATGAAATGAACATAGGAGTAGGAAGATGCTCATTTCATGGACAGTCTGTGATCACATGCTCAGCACCTGACCTTAACACCCTGTGTTAGAAGGTAAATCAGAAGCTTTCATTGAAAAAGTATCGCTGGAAAATATTCGTGATTGACCTGTAGTTACGTTTTAGGCACTGTCCTTACAGGATGGACCCTGAGGTCAGCCACCAATCCTCCTTACTTGTAGAGTACTCACGACTGCCAAATGGAAAAAGAATACGTCAGAACAGCCCGGCAGGAAAGGCACATTTTAAAGACTCGGCATAGCTACCCGTGTTTGTGGCTAGCTTGCCATAGGATGTTGCATGGGCAGCGCGATGTAACATGACGGTTTACCGAGCGGCGTGGATATCTGACCATGTGCTTCAGCTTAGAAAGTCCCTCACAACTGTGGGAGTCATTGTCCTTGACGAATCTCATCGAACCCTAGACAAGTGATTTCGGAGAATTACTCGCCGATGCACTGTGTTCAAATTCCGCATTTCGTTTTCCTTATAGGCTGATAGTTCAGCGTGCATACTGCTGAATATGTAAAGATGTCAAACTTTTTAGATGGGGCCTGCCCATTGAGATCTAAATAGAAAAATCAAGGGGTACTTTGAAGGCCAGCAGCCTGCACCAATATAAGTCGAATGTGGTTTGAGTTGATACCACAGTCATCAGGGGGAAACCCAAGGAGCAATCTTGGAACCACTTCTGCTCCTCCCGTTTGTAAATAATCCGCCATGAAGAATCTCCCCACCCATCGAACTCTTCGCTGATGACGTTGAAATTTGGAGGGTAGAAAACGAAGAGATTGAGTGTACAACACCGCAAAATGACCTGTAACAACCCGAACTCTGGTCTTCAGAAAATAGCTTCAGCCTCAACCCGGGATGGTGCAAAGTTATGTACTTTAGTACCTACAAAACGAGGAAGACGAACTTCCAGTAAGTGCTGAGCAGCCTTGCTATCACCAGAGATTCAACGGAGAAAGATTTGGAGCTCAACATCTCCGACACTCTCGACACCGACTCCAAAAATAAAGACATGGCAACCAGAGAGAACGCCGCTTCGCACTTCCTACCTAGGAAGCCTGATATCCTAGCCCCCGAACAGTTTTCCCAGTTTTCAAACCCTACGTACTGTATCACCCAGAGGTCTTCGATACAGCGTCACCCCCAACGCCCAAGATGTACTCTAACCTCCTCGAAAAGACGCAGAGATCTGCAACAAAACCAGTTGTGGGATTGAGGTCGAAGGGCACACCTAAACCTTTCTCAACTCGGGCTATCACAGAAAGAGGGGTGACCTTATTATGGCCTACAAGGTAATCCACTGGGCGAACGAAGCAAACAAACTAGCTTTACACGCAACACAGCGGTCATCACGAGGCAACCCCACTGGGATAGCGCATCAGACGGCTAACACCAGGCTAAGCTTTTTCTCTTAAGGAGTATATGCTTTATGGAGCGCCCGGCTGCGGGATGCAGTGTTATCCCACTTGGTAGGCCTATTCAGAGGACGGTTAGACAGTCATATCATTTTGTATGGTTTACCACGGACGTAACTAGTGAGTAACTAGCTTCACTAGCTCACCATCACTTCCCTTCTATCACCCAGCACCTCTCTTCCTGATACGCCTACACTGTCTAATAACACTCTTTTAGCAACTGCACCCGTACCATCTACTTTCCTTTTCGGATAGTCCCCATATACTTTTTTTCTCACTATCTCGCTAGCCCTATTCAGGCACCTACACATACAGGGGTCCCGGAAGGCCTCCAATCTTCCCCGTAACCCGTAGCTGCCTAATTACTCCACAAATTGCAATATACTAACCCAAGAAACATCCACCTCACCGAGACTACAGGTAAGGAATCAGAACAGATTTTCTTACCCACTATAAGATCAAGCCTAAACACTAGAATTAAGCCCTAATAACTAGATGCGAGAAATCAAAATCTACCAGTTTTATACGCTCGCACCATCACTGCTTCTTAGGGAGTCAAATCAATTTTTTATGTATCAGCAAATAATTTCCGGAAATTAATAGCCTACGTTTCGACGATATACAGAATTGATAAAGGCCTGGATAGTTTGACGGACTCGAAGGACCAAAATTTCATAACTTCTGTAGCGTAGTCCTCATTCTCTTCCATCCAGTTCAAACTGGGTAAGAATAGCTTTTTAAATACAGTTTTGGAATTAAAATGGTTTGGCTTCTTCGCATGGAAGTGAGTGATAACGTTTTTTTTAGTCAGTTACAATTATTTTACTCTTGCGAAGTAATTACGAGGTATATTTGCTACCTCAAGGTCGGTTGTGAACTGGAGTTCGTACTGTTTAGGTGAGTCAACCTATTTTGACATCGTTATTTTTGCCTAGAAGTAACAACATTTATTTCTTATTCTTTGTTCTCTGGTTTTCAGAGGACAACTGAAATGTCTGCAGGACGTTTTAGAGATAAATACTTATCTGAAATCAATTTTATACTTTGAATAAGTTTCTTAAATGGTTTCTAGACATTTCCGGTTGAACTACCACTTTCATATACCGTCAATTAAGTTGTCAAGTGCATTTATTTTGTCTAGTATTCATTAAACCTGGCTAGGTCAAAGTAGGTAGATTCTAGTAAGATAAGGAATATAGAAAAAAAGCTCGGAAACAGTTATATATGCGATTACACGCAACCACACAATAGGATGAAACACTAAAAAGGCTTTTAAAACTGTAGTAGCGGGGTGGAATGAGAGATTTATGACTGGGTTTTTATTTGTCGAATCAAAACCTAATACTTGTAAGAGGAATCATTCAGCACTTGTTCTGGATACGTTAAAAATCCTGCTGCCGATATCAAAAAAGAGGTGATAAAATCAGAACTGTATAAAGTATGTCCCAAATGTGTAGTTATCTTGATGTGCACAACAAATTACATACGAAACCTAATCTAGTAAATATAACTTTAACTGTGTGATACATTTAATAAATTAGCCGAAATGGAATTAAATTCTATTACAGTGCTCAAGTTTTACTTTTCTGTCTAAAGAAGGATGGGATCCTCCCAGGACAGACAGCTAGAACGTTTGGAAGAACATTTTGAAGCGCAGTTACGCTGGCTCACAGCAAACGCTTCTGTTGCCGAACACCCAGCATGAAGCCGAATGAGACGTATCTATCAGCCCTCTAACCCTTCTTAAAGTTAAGAAAGCTGTATTGAGCCTGAAACGATCCAAAGTAGTGGGACCTAGCAGTTTACCACCTGAAGTTTTCAAGGATCGAGGTAGGAAATCGCTGATTGGAGTGACCGAGGTACTACATAGTGTATCGAAACCAGAGGTAGTGCAGTCAGACTAGTCTGCCTCACTGATCATCCCAATCCATAACAAGGGAGATAAGTCTTCTTGTGAAAACCATAGGGGAATTAGTCTAACTAACTAACATTCTGTCCAAGATATTCAGGTCCACAGTTATCCAAAGCGTAACCGGAACTCAGGAACAAGAAACTTTAGAAAACCAGGTAGTTTTCAGACCTGGATGAGGCTACAACGATCAGATTTTCAAAATTCGGTGGGTTATGGGATACAGGAACACTTACCGCCGGCCGACGTTTGTTATATTTTCGACCTGAAGGAGGCTTTCAACTCTGCCGACCATGATATGTTGTTGTAGTGTCTGACTGTGAAGGGAGTACCGGGAAAGTGTGTAACACTAATTTAAGCCTTATACTCCGACTCAGACAGCCATGTGAGGTCTTACGGAAAGATGTCACCAGAATTGAAGACAATTAGTGGTGTCTGTCAGGAGTGTCCACTGACATCGTTATAGATGTACTAATGGATATAACCTTAAGTATGCTTGTCTTCCCGGGGATTGATTTACTCCCTATTTGATTTGGAGTTGTTTACTGAGGACGCTGACAAAATGCAGTGTCTTTTTAACGCGTTGAGCAGAAATCTGAGTATATCTGGCAAGCGTTTTACACTTGTAAAATGTGAGACAATGCTTCCGGGCTGGTCTGCAACTAATTCCAGTCTAAAGATAGAAAGTAAAGTTGTTGATTGCATCGACCACTTCACTTACTTGGGGAGTTGCATCGGCCCGAACAGGCTGGTTGCTGACTAAACCTCAGCTGGGATACACGAGACCTGCTTGACATTCGCCAGTTTACATCTAGCGCAAGACACCTGACTAAATATTAGAGGATGGATATACTGCTCCGCTATTCTTTCTGTCCTACTCTGCTAGATGACACGGGGACATGGCCGTTAAAATCAGAAAACATGAAGCAGTTACAGGGCTTTAATAACGGATGTTTTCGTAGCAATTCTCGCGTTTGGTGGAATCATTGTGTGAGTAATGTTAAGGTCAGGTAAAGGGTGCTAGGCAAGACAGGCAAGTCGATTAATGAGGTTATGAACCTTCAGCAAATGAGATGGCTTGAACATGTATTGCTTGTGCCAAGCCACCGCGTACATAGACGGGCGATGCTAGTGCCGGGAAGTTGGATTATGTTGGGAAAGAGTTCAGGGTGGCCAGATAAAGATGGTGCATCAGTCACTAAAGTCCTTGACTCTGGGTCTCAGTCGTGTGAGGGATATAGACTGCGTAGTTGGGGTCTTCGAGACGATAGGAATGGGTTGTTGAGGACTATTGTTGAAATGACTGAAAATTATTCACAATGGCGCAGATGTATTCACTTCTTAAAGTCTAATACTTGAACTTTTCTTACCATCCTACTTTTAAAATTTCCTCTCCCTCTGGAGACCTTTTTTCCACTCTGATATCAGTCTTTTCTATCCACGTGTCATTTGTATACTACTGCTCTGAAGTGTGGCAACTGGTAACGGGGCACTTGAGTGCGAGATTCTTCGTTAATTTAGTCTCTTTGTCTGCTGGCCTCAAAATATTTTGGAGCAAGCTGGGTTTATTTCTAGCTCGGCTTAAAATCTTCAGACTTCAAACGAAACTGTACAATCGCTTTTTTTAGTTACAGAAATAAAACAATCGTATAATGGGCAAGTTTTGACTGCGGAAAACTTTGATGCCGCATTGTTTAGTGCTCATTTATTGAATTGAATTTGGCAATCTGATAACAGTTCTAGTCTGTTGCACACACTTCTGACTAGTATAATGAAGCAAAACGAGAATAAATAAGTGAAAAAGAAAGAATAACTGATTGCTAATATCACTAATAAAGCCAACGAAAAAGTTGAATTATGCGTATGAAGATAGAATGTTAGATATGTAGAGAGAGGCAAGAAAGGAATACATCTGTCATGGAACTGTTGATTTTACCCTCCACTACATAAATTTTGAAGATGTCCCACGTTAAGCTGAAATTATCATAAGTAATCACTAAACTGGAAATAGCCCACCTATTTATATCTTGATCTTGACTCATTGGTTATGTAGTAAAGTAAGTACACTAGTGAACTTGGAGTTATGTGATTTCATAACTGTAACGTGAGAGAATTATTGAAATGAATACATGTCAGAAAAGGGAGCGAGTAGCCTTAAGATAACTTGGATTACAGGTCCATCCATCCATCTAAATCAACCAGGACCATAGGACCGGTCATTACTGCGCAACGGTTCGAGTTGCCACAGCTCATATCAGTACATCAAGTAAAAGGCAGTGAAGGTGAAGATGTGGGTAAGAAAGTTCAGTCACAAGAAATACAAAGTACTAGAAAAGAAAAATGAATGAGAAAATGGTGTGACTCGATATACTGTTAAGGTGAGGATAATGTGTGTAACAGAAGTCATTAGGGTTGAAAAACGAGTGTTTTCAGATCTTTGTTTATGTTCTAGTATTATTGCTTGTATTATACCATCGTTGATTGGACCGAATTGACCGGTCTCTATTGGCATATAGACTCCTGTGCGGATGCCTTGATATTAGCTGTGTTTTAGTTCTATATAGTAATGATGGATAGTTGCTAGCAGTAGAATCCAGGATGCTCATTTCATCCTATTTGGGACTGGTCAGCTGGATGTACCTGCTATATTTATGTTATTTCTACCTGCTACTTTTGATAGACAATAAAGAACATAAATGCGTAACAATTTTAGTTATGATGTATATTTGTATGTGTATTTGCTGAAGCTTGATTGTCAAAAATTTACGATTCAACTCACGAAACTAGCACTTATCAGTTGTAGCTGCATATATGTGATTGGTTTCACTTTCGCATAGTCAAAGGAATACTGTGGCAACCCTGTGTAATTTTTAACTGCTACAGCAACACAGCTTTTTGCACACCAGTTTTTGTAGGTGTATAAGTATTTGAATTTCATAATGGAGACGACATAAATTGTGGAGAAGCAAGCATGTATTTGGTTATTATCTCTACTCCACGATTCTTTGAAAGTTTCTTGGTGTCATATGCTTTCTCGGCTTTTTCCACCATAGGGCCCTACTATAGGTATATGTACCGGTGGTATCAGTGAACAGTTAATAATTAAGGTTTATGGCCTCTTTTATTCTTATTCGGAAACTTGTCTTTGAAAATTGTTAGCTCTCTTGGAACCATGGAATCTATCTTAGGGAAACGAAGTTAATTCATATGAAGTAACAACGCCTATTTTAGCACTCGCTTTACTCGTGATATCAAATTCCACTGTAGTTGTGGCTGACATTTACCGTATTTTTGTTGCTGTACATCATGATTTTTCGTATGAACTTGTTTATTACTGTTAAAACGTATACTAAATTTAATGGCTATGCAAATCTAACATTCTTAATTGATTTTCCTTATCTTGTTCATCCTACAAAAGGCTTCTACTCAGAAATGGCAACATCACCAAGTGAAAATAAAAAGCTTGAAGTGCCGCCGGCTATGAAGTTTGTACTAGGTGGAACTGCTGGGTATGTTCACCTTGTGGGAGCTGTGTTATATTTTTATCGGATATTTGAATTTCAATGTGACTATATTCACTTGAGCTTCGTGTTTGAGTTTGGTATCACGCTATTTAAGAGCTGCATTAAAAATGGGTACTATTTTTGGCTTTTTTGGTGTTGTTATTGATATATTTTAGGTTAATTTTGTGATAAAAACATTGGGAGGGTTGAAGCATTTAAGGCTCGTATATTGGTTTGCTAGTATACTTGTTTATGCTTTTATTGATCCGTAGGGTTCTGGTTTGCCACTTGTGTCAGTTAGCCACTGTGCTTATTTCTACCAAACTACATCTTTTCCTTCGGTACTGGTAGTTTAAGTGGTATTTTCCTACTCATATTCTGGTTGCTTTTCAGAAGTATCCTAGTAGTCACAATGCTATGTAACATTTGCCATAATAAGTTACTTCCCCTTCATATTTGTATTGAACTCTACTACGTTTTATTGTATCTTGGATTCTGATAAACAAGTGACTGAATAATTCCGATGAGAAACACTCACTGGATAAGTAAGTGGTTTGATCAAATTTCATGTACTTGAAGTTATATAACAGAGTAATGCCGTCAGTCGTAAAACAGTATCAAATGTTATACGTAGTTGCAGAATTGTTTTATTCATTTTTGTTAGAAGACTAGTTTTAATTCGGCTCGTCAGTAATCTTCATTCGGTTTACTCATCTTTAGAAAATCAAATTATTAAGTTTCATACATAAGTCAGACTCATATCAATAAAGCTAGTATAATGCGATTAATTCATTATTTGTCATAATTTACTCTCCATCTCTAAATTTCCAAATCGTAACCTGAACAGACTATTAGAAAACAATAACAATATGAAGTAAAAAATCAGAAACTAGGTAGCCCTGTCGACATGCTAGTAATTACGTGATGTTAAGAAAAACATATTTAAGATCTCTGTCCATAAGTAGGAAAAGTGAAGTAGAGTCGAAGGATGATTCGGTGATAATGTTAGTGTAAACATTCGATGCATAAGTAACCAAATCATCCCTAGGTAATTTTATTGGACTGTAGGGATTAAATAATCCAGTGAACTCTATGACAGTAAGGTTGTCCACTATCTCCTTTTTCATTGCACATGTCTTCTGTAAACGTTTTGATTTCATTGGCTTTAGCGAAACAAAGTAAACTTGAGTTTTATCATCTGTTGGTTATTTTAGAGTTCACTACCGTTCATATTATCTGATCCTAAAATACTTAGGTTTTTAAATTCGTCTTAATGCAAGCGAGTAAATACTTGTTACTGTTCTTTTGAAGTATGTTCTTTGCGAAAATACGAATAGGTAAATGTAGCTTTAGTGTTTACTTGCGGATATCAGCTCGATTCCAATTTCATCTTTATTCATCGTAAATTGTACGCAACTCCACACCATCTTAATGGATTGCGGATTTGAAATACACTTGTTAATAGGAGAGGGAGGAATACGATCATAGCAAAGAAAAACTTTTCTTTTCGACGAACGCACTCTTTAAAGTGTACGTTCATAAACATGATGAAAATAGATCATTCTAAACCTATATATAACGTAAGTTCATTCGTATTTTCTACCGTATGTTCATGAGTTTACAAGTAAGATAAGGAGTTCGTCGACAATATTTTCCTATCTGATAGATACAATCGACAGGAAGCCCTGAATCTAGGTTTCGGGCTTTTAGGTGCTTGTCAGCAAGGCGTGTCTGCAACTTCTATGGGACTGATGTCCTTCCTGAGACTCAGTTCGGCGTCACCCAATGTTGCAGTCCGCGATGTGTTTCTTGCAGATAATCAGCAGTCCATACTTATGTGGCCCCTTTTCTAAGGGGAAGAAAAACGGGTTATAAAATCCCAACCCTCAAAATAGCAAACTCCTTTCTGCCCTACGGTTCTCCTTTGCTGATAGCAGAACAGTCAGGTTTCTATCCAAATCTGTCGAAAAAGTTGCATGTGACCAGTATCTGTGGTCATACAGAACTGATTTAACTTGCTCTTTCACGTACCTCGTAGAAACAAAGTTCAAATTATGATTTTACATAAATTCGATAGCTAATTCCCATGCGCTCGCTGGTGTAGGTATAGCATTAAATTCTTGACTGGATAGTAGTCTATATTCGTCTATATGCTGCCCAAATGAATGAATATGTAAGATTCAGCGGAGATTCAACGAAATCTACGGGCAGGTAGATGGAGTGGCAATGGGATTACATCCTCCTGCTTTATGGAAAACAAAATCTTATCAAAATAAACAATCAGCGATCTTCATATCTACAAGAGATGCATAGATAATGCTTTTATTATTTGTGATGTGAATACAAATCTCGAAAAGCATCTCATCCACTTATCGAATTCATTCTAAAAGGAGGGTTTTGCGTGTGTGGGGGGGGAGATGTAGACTGCCTGGTTGGGGTCCGCTAAACGAAAAAAAATCAGTGGTTGAGGACTCTTGGCGACATGGCTGAAAATCGGTCACAATGGCACAGATGTATTCACTCTTTGAGATCTTTAAAGGCTTGAATATTTGCAGTAACCTTTATCTTCAGATTGTTTATTCTCTCACACAACATTGTTTACTTTGATATCGGTCTTTTCCTATCCACCTGTGTATGAGGTTCTACGTTGATTTTGTCTGTCTGATGTCAAACTTCAAAGAAGAAATGACATTTCAGTCCAGAGATCTACTTACACGAAGCTGTATCCCCTTAGGCAGAAAGAGGAATCTTATTAATTTACTCTCCTCCAAAATACAACGAATATGCACGGAGGTTACTGTCGGAAGTGAACTATAGAACTCTCTGAAAATTCCAATTAAGAATGGATACCGGCTGAAATTAGTAGATAAGATTCTTAAACCGAAAAATGCCATGAGACGCTTGCTTACTGCCCTGGTTTCCCTCTCGTCACCTAATTACACAGACGTTGACACAATCACAGGTGAATTTTCTTTAGATCTAGAATATGCAGATGACATAGTCCTGTTACGTGAAGACGCTGACAAGATGCAGAGTCTTCTGAACACTTTGAGTGGGAATTTGAGAATGTCTGGGATGCGATTTTCACCACCCAAATGCAAATTTTTGCTCCAGGACTGGTCTTCAGCAGTACCGCGGCTAACAATAGAGAGTGAAGTGGTTGAGTGTGTCGACCACTTCACTTACCTGGGAAGTAGGATCAACCCTGGTGGGTTAGTTGCCGATGAGATTTCTGCACGGATACAAAAGGCTCGATTGGCTTTTGCCAATTTGCGCCACCTATGGCGCCGCCGTGATATTCGTTTGTCTATTAAGGGTCGCGTGTACTGCACAGCAGTCCGCTCTGTTCTACTGTATGGCTGTGAAACATGGCCATTGAAAGTGGAGGATACAAAAAGGCTTCAAGTGTTTGACCACCGTTACCTTCGTAATATAGGACGTATTCCGTGGTGTCACCACACCATGTGAGTAATGCAGAAGTTAGGTGTAGAGTTTTGGGGAGAAGAGGTAAGTCAGTTGACGAGGTTGTGAACCTTCATCGACTGAGATGGTTGGGACACGTACTAAGTATGCCTAGTCACCGATTGCCTCGCCACACAATGTTGGCTGAGGTGGGTCCAGGCTGGAAAAAGGCCCGAGGTGGCCAGACTAAAACATGGCACCAATGTATGAAGTCTTTGACTGTTGGTTTAAGCCATGTAGGAGGATGCAGACTAGGTGGTTGGGGTCCACGGGACAAGAGGAACCAGTGGTCGGAGACCCTAGGTGATATGGCTCAGAACCGAAGTCAGTGGCGCAGATGTATCCCAACACACCTTATCCTCATCCTAACAACGCTATACCGAATCTCACCATTTTGTCACTCCTCTTTCCTTTCTTCTCGTACTTTATATTTCTTTTGACTGCATTCACTTATCTTCATCCTTCGCCTCACTACCTTTTTACTTGATGTGCTGATATGAGGTGTGGCAACTCGGACCGTTACGCAGTAATGCCTGGTCCTATGTTGATAATGATGATGATGATGCTTACTGCCCTGACAAAAGATTTTCTGACTGAACCTCGAATTCAAGAGAGATGATGTGGCAGATACCCTTAGAAAGAGAATATCAAGATGTATAAACAAAACATTCCTTACCGTCAACCTTAGAATCATACTCTATTGTCAGAACATTATTTCCCATAAATCAGAGGATAGGCTGGAGTATTGGACCACATCACTATGTACACATTAGTTTACTTGCTCTTGTGGAGCCAAGTACATAAGCCGTACCACACGCCAGCTTACACAACGCGCATGCCAACGTTACCCAACTTGGCTAACAAGGGGAAAAAAGAAACGTATCTTCAACTTAGGAACAGAACACCTAACATACTCAGGATATTTAGCTCCATTTGATAAATGCTTCGAAATTTTTCACTGAGTGCTACCAAGCCACTCGAAAGAAGTAAGGTTAAGACATCTGGGCACGGCTAAAACATTAGCGATTTAAAAGTTCGAACCATCATTATGCTTTCAAAAGAGGTACATGCAAATATTTTCTACCATGGCCATCGTAGAGGGTTGATCACTCTAAATTATTTCCTTAGGACGTAACAATTTTTTTATTTTGTGATCACTTTGTTTATTTCCCTATTTAGACGTCTATATACATTGCATAAATTCCCTTTGTTATGCATCTCATTTTGACCTTTGACCGCAAATTACTCCCAGGTGTTTTGTCCTTTCTATTACATACTCACGAAAAAACAGATAAAAGAATGATTTCGTCAAAAAGAAAAATGTTTCTTCACTACAATCGTCTTCTATTTTTTCTTATGGATCTGCATGAACTGGTAAAGACCATGACATTTATCGATGCCTAACTGTAGTCTTCATTTACTCTCTCACCGACTGCAGTTCGGGTGATACAAAGGTTAACCTCGATCACAAGTTGTTGACTTTTCTACATAAAGCAAAAGCTTCTTGTATAGCCATGGTAACATGCAGTTTTAACACTCACAGAAATAAGCGGAGCCAATCAGAAAGGCATGCCGATGAGCCGACAACAGTGATACCTTCTGAACTTTTTCCTGAAAACTCACACCAGGACTAACTTCAAGAATAACGAAATGCTGTCTATCATAGTCACCACCGAAATGAAGTTAACAGTGGATACAGATCATATTGGCGTAAGCCATCATTAAAGAGAATCGATTGGACTAACTATTGGGACCTCGATCGTGTCTTAATATGTACACGTATTTTTACTCCCCATTCCTCGCAGTAAACAAGAAGTAGTAATAAACCTCCATGTGCTGAACTAAAAGATTTGGATGTCAATTGTGTATCAAGAGAGGAGTTAGCTAAGCATTCATTTTAACATTGCTCTGACTACTATCTAGATAGATCTTGGTGTCTTAAATAGTGTGATTTAGAAACATCGATTAAAATAGTTGGTAATCGGCGTCATAAGATTGGCGAATTCCAGGGTATTTCCCCAACCCCACGTAAGCTCACTAATGCTTGAAGACTTTACAGCCTCAATTGATCACAATATAGAGTGAAAGCATCTTGGGTACCTAAGTCGCCACAATGGCAGCAAGCAGTGATGGGGAATGCATCAGCCTTGTATCGGACTTGGCAATTATCTGTGCTTATTAAGGAAACAGATCCCTAGAAGAATGGAGTCCTTACAACTCAGGATAGGCGGGTAAAACATTGGACGGAACACTTTGAAAGACAGTTCAGTCGATCTACAGTCACTCTTCAGTTGTTCAACATCTAACCCGAACATAAATGGGATGTATATGTCGGTCGTCCAACTATCCTCAAAGTTAAGAAGGTTTTTTCTGACCTGAAACGATGCAGTGCAGGAGTAACCAATCGTTTGCTACCATTATGGATGAAGGTAGGAAATTGCTTACTAAAGCGACTGAGATACTAGCTAGCTATAGCTATACTAGCTATAGCTATCAGAAATAGTCGCTGATCGTCCTAGGCGATAAAAAGAACACAAGTCCTCATACGACAACTACAGGGGCATCAGTGTGACTGGTATCTGATCTGAAGTCTTTCGGTTCATAGTTATCCGACTCCTAAATAAAGCTCGATAACACCAAACTAGAGGAAACGAGGTGGGTTTAAGAAATAAGTGAGGATACATTTGTAAGGTCTTCACCATTCTACAGCTCTTGGTGCACAGATATACTTGCGGGTGCTTAACACTTGTCAGATTGGTACTCATCACGGACCGACATCAGTTGGAGAACCATTGAAAACTTGTGAACGCTAGACAGATGTTTCGTTCTAGTATGGGATTCTTCAACAGTGCGCACCCACGATCACGTCGGGAGTCGAACCCGGGACCTCTAGGTCCCGCTGCCAGTATTTTACTACTGAGTCGTCGGGTCGAAACCTGATGGCCCGCATGCTGTAGAGTCTTATACTGGTATGAAACAGCTGTCCAGCGCTCTCAGGTTTTCAATGATTCTCCAGCTGATGGCAGTTCGTGATGAATGCCAATTCGAAATCGTTACAAACTTCCGAATTGAACTAGCTATATTTCTCGATCTGAGGAAGTAATTCGACTCAGTCGACTGAAAGGTGTTGTGAGAATAAATAACTGTAAAGGAGTACTGTGCAGGTATATAGTGCTGATCAGGGTTCTCATGCAGCTTACACAGAGTTGTCGTCTGAAGTAATAACAACTAGAGGTATCCACCAAGAATTTCCACTATCATTTTCTTTGTTTAGCTTTGTCATATGTGTATTAATGGAAATAACCTTTGGTACCTCTAACTTCCTGGGTGTATGTTTGACTTGGAGTAAGCAAGTGACATTGTTCTATTACGCGAGGACGCTGCCCAAAAAAGCTTCCATTTGATTTGATCTCCATTCACCCATAACACTTACTGTTTCAATATTGAAATAATTTTACATTATCCCTTACTGTGGCTATTGTATTTCATCTATTCTCATGGATTTATATCTGTAGAGCTTGGAAAATAATTTGTTGAAAACAATTGTTTGCTCAAATTATTCTGGTTCTAAATAAGATATTGCTTTAGGACTGGTCTGCAGCTACTTCTAGTTTAGGCATAGGAAGTGTATTGTTACAGTGCGTCGGTCACTTCACTTACTTGGGAAGTTGCGTCAGCCTGTGGGTTGCTTGCTGATGACATCTCATTTTGGGCTACAAAAAGCCTGTTTGGCATTTATCAAACACGTCATCTCTGATGCCCACAAGGTATCCGATTATCTATAAGAATAGGGACATACTGTGCTTACTTCTCTTTGTCTTATCATGATTCATGTTTTCGAAAGTAAAGGAGGTGGAAAAGTTATAGGTCTATGACTGCAAGTGTTTTCATAGCATTGCTCGTGTATAGTGGAAACATCATATGAGCAATGTTGAAGTTGGTCTTTGGGTACTAGGTAAGGAAGGCCTATCAGTCTATGACATTGTTAGGATTCATTGATTGAGTTAGTTAAGAACTGTTTTGCGTACAGGCTAACGTAACATTGATAAAAGATTATTTGTCCGGCAACATTTCCAGCATAATATGTGTATAGTCCTATCAAAATGATTTTTGCAAATCTCAGGCTTATTATGAGAATGACGTTGCAGATGTTTATAGAGAATCAGCTATGTGGGAAATGGTAGTTGATGAATCATGCCCTATCAATTTATTTTATATCAAGTACACTAGGATGAAATTATAGTATTTAATTCGTTAGAGCATATGTGAAGACCATTTAGTAAAAATGTTCCACTGGTCATTATTTTTAAGGTTTGATTTCAATAATTGTTCATCAGGCCTCATTTTTATCATTATTATTATTATATTTACTTGTATTATGATTTCAATTGTTGGGAATTACAGGATGTGTGCTTCTGTTTGCGTTCAACCTTTGGACCTTGTAAAAAATCGGATGCAAATGAGCGGTATGGAAACGTTTTAGTCTTTTTTAACATTTTATGTTATAATTTCCTTTTTACAATTTATAGTAATTATCAATAAACACCATATTTCACAAACTATAGGCTGTACACTGTCACTTACATAAGGATACTCTGTGCAAAATGTGTGCTGAACATTTAACTGGCAAATATAGCTTCTCATACTTGTTCTTGAAGATTTTGGTTCTAGATTCTTATCTGAAATCAGTTTCAGAAATGGTGATTTAAACTACATAATCGAAATCCACTAAGCAACCTTATACATATTTGTGGAGTGAGTAAGCAATGGGCCAGACCTTTTGTTTGAGGAACTACGATACTGCTCTGTTGTTCAAAGTTGGGTAAGTGGAGCTTATTTTGAACCCTTAATCCATCGTATAGAAATCAAGTGCCTAGACCGATGTCCAGTGGTAAGCTGAGACATGGGGAGGTTCAGATAGAAGCAGAATATCTATTCACTGATTCGGGATCTGCAGCGTCGTAATTTATTGGCCTACATGATAGAATTTGATTTTTTTTTAAAATAGTAAAAGATATGAGTACAAGACAATGCTATACATTTAAATACACTCATTCTTTGACCCTAACAACTTCAGTAATCTTAGTTATCTTAAGGCTACTCGCTCCCTTTTCTGACATGTATTCATTTCAATAATTCTCTCACGTTACAGTTATGGAATCACATAACTCCAAGTTCACTAGTGTACTTACTTTACTACGTAACCAATGAGTCAAGATCAAGATATAAATAGGTGGGCTATTTCCAGTTTAGTGATTACTTATGATAATTTCAGCTTAACGTGGGACATCTTCAAAATTTATGTAGTGGAGGGTAACATCGACAGTTCCATGACAGATGTATTCCTTTCTTGCCTCTCTCTACATATCTAACATTCTATCTTCATACGCATCATTCAACTTTTTCGTTGGCTTTATTAGTGACAATAGCAATCAGTTATTCTTTCTTTTTCACTTATTTATCCTCGGTTTTGCTTCATTATACTAGTCAGAAGTGTGTGCAACAGACTAGAACTGTTATCAGATCGTCGAGTCCAATTTACGACATAATATTTAACTGTCGTGAACACTATTTTATTTTCAGCCCCGAAAGCTGTTTTAAAATATTCTCAGTAGAGTTTATTCTTCATCATTTAAGTTTGCATGGTGTTGTGTATCAGTAATTTGTACAGCATACATCAAACTAAATTTCAAAAAGGCTTCATCATGGGTTGGTATGTTTTACGCAGCTACTTCTAGATATTTTTAAAGAAAGGCACTTATCATTTATTCATTAAAAGGATGATCAGGGTTGTGCACTGCTGAAAAACGTAGAAAATATAGTGTATCGAAGCGTTTTAAGAGTTATCCTCGAATTTAACATACTCTGAAATTTCGTCTTTGTTTATATTCGATAACTAATGTTCATATTCTTGACATCGTTCATATCATATTAAACAGGCTAAGATAGCTTGTATTTTGGTTATGTTTGTATTGGTCTCAATATTTTGGTTGTATTTGGTGCTTTTGACGTATATTGTAGCTGGTCAGTTAGATATAATTAAAGTATCTAGTAGTTTGTATTTTTTTGGGCCTCAGAATTACTTTGTCTTGCCAGTCATATCATTAGACTAAGGGTTTATGAATAGGTAGGTTGGTTTAAGAACAGCTTACACCATATCCTGAAATTCCCTGAATTGGAATAAAATATCATGTAATGCAGCTCCACAATCATCTAAAGGTGTGTATATGAAGCTGTGCGTTAAATCTAACATCTGGAAGCTTATTGTGTTCCTCACTTACCCAGCTGAAAGTAGGCAGAGCAGGATATTAACCTGGAGCTCACGCTTAAGATTCTAGTGCTTAGACTAACGAGTCATGCGTCTACAAGATAAATGAGTCGAAAGTAGGGAGCGCAACAGAATTGTTTTTCCCCCTATCTTTGGGATCATTCAGACATACGCTTCTTCAAATGTATTGGATATGGAACTGAACGACTTCAAGTCTTGCAGTCACTAAGTTAAAACTCAGTGCTTTCTCTTTTACAGTAACAATTGATTGACGATATAGCGCAACCACCCGCCTTCTATTCAACATCAGCTCATGAGGAAAACAATCTTCAGATGAGAAATCAGTCAAATAAACAGACAGTTGATTTATTTATTGAATAGTAGTGACGTGTTTTTTCAAATGATTCCAACTTTTCATTTCCCTTATATGATTCAGGGAAAGTTGTAATCAGTGGCTTGTAACTATAACCATGGGTTTTGCATAGGTGATTTGCATATTGATCGAACTATGATTCATTGACTTCAGTACTTAACTTACAACAAGTAAACCATGGGTCTGAACAATATTCCACTTACCCTCAGGTTCTTTTAGCCACATAAGGTTATTAACCTTCATTACTTCGACATGCAATGAATGCTAGGGGAAGCTGGATTAGACTGGAAGGGAGTTTAGGTTGACATATCTTGGACGTGGCACCAGTGCATGAAGTCCATAACTGTTGGTTTGAGCTGTGTTGAGAGGTGTAGACTTCCTGGCTGGGGCTACCGAGACGCCAGGTATCAGCGGTTGATTAATTCTTGGTGACATGGCTGAAAATCAATCACAGTGACGCAGATGTATTCACTCTTTGAAGTCTTCTAGTACTTCAGTGTTCTGACCAACCGTAATTTTTTTTAATTTCCTCTCCTCCCATACACCTTTGCCTACTTTGATATCACTCTTCTTCTACCTACTTGTTCTTCGTAGACTACTATGTGATGTGACAACCTTAACTGATACACTTGTGTACGAGGTTATACGTTGCTTTCTTCTGTCTATTTGTTTGACTAACCTTCATGCTATATGTGTTTTATGTGGTTCACATAAAATCCTAAGTGGTAGCTGAGACTATCGTTTTGGTCAAGTATGTATATATCTACACTTCCAAGACAATTCTCAGAAAGTGATAAACGATTTACCGAATTATATTTACTACTTGGAGGGAAAGACACATCTGATGGAAATATTGCTAAATACTCTAAAGTTATAACGATTGTTTGCATAGTGAATGTCCCTACAGTCATTGGGATCTTCAAAACAACAGAGTAATCTGCCACAATGAAATCCATTCACTTCGCAAATGTGATTAGTTGGCCATGGTTTGTTTTTGAATCTCCATCAAATTTCGCCCTTTTTAAAAAACTCAGCTCACTTTCTTGTGGATTGGAATGGTGTATTACCTATTTTGTTGGTGAACTGAAGATCTGCTTGGCATCATGCTGTAGGATGCTAAGTATTGCTTAGACACACAGACAAGACCAACGTAAAACTTCACACACAAGTGTATCGGTTCAAGTTGCCACACTTCACACAGTAGTATACAAAGAACAAATTGATAGCAAAAGAGTGATATGAAAGTAGACAAAGTTGTGTGAGCGAACAAACAATTTTCAGCCATGTCACTAGGATTCCTCAAGTACTTATAAGCATCACTCCCAGTTTTGGTCAGGTGGTGACATTTATGATCAGTGAATCTGTCATATATTTTTATCCGTTAGTAAGTGCTGTGATGAAGTCGAAACTGCTGATTACGGTGATTTTCATTTACTCTAAGTCATCATGAAAAGTCGACTAAACATCCAGCATAATTGCGTAGGGGTTCATCTTACTGCTTTTTATATCAACACATCCAGATAGAGTAAACATGTCGGGGAAATAAATGGGGGATTAATCGTAGTAAAATTTTGAATGTTGAAATGATAACGATTCTTCAATTGATCTGTGCTACTGAGTCTGGTTCTCGACTATGTCATTTGAAGTCTTTAATCGTCAATTTTGATGGTTTTGAGGATGTGAATATCCAAATCAGACACAACACTCAAGCTAACAGTTACTGATTACTTGAATTGGTGCTAAATCTCTGTCTGGTCAGCCCCAGCATCCTCCGAATTCATCTTCTTCTTCTTCTTCCATTCGTCGTAGCACATTGTAATAGATAGCTGTCAGGGATGTGTAACCCCTCGCCCGACCACTTCACTTAATGAAGCTTCATTATTTCATACAGTGAAGTTCTTTCGTGACCTGACATTTTAAATTAAGAAGTACGTTAGTTAGCGATGATTGTTTGCATAAATCCACTCTTCAGGTGTTTAATTTTACTGAAGTATTTTAACAATTGTCAACAGTAGTTGTTTATGGTTCACATGAATTTAGTTTGTGACTTGAATTGTTCATCGGTTAAGATGAACTCAGTTTATTCTAAGCCTGAAGTAGCCTTCATTATCCTACTAATTCATCTATGTAACCATTTATTTATGAGATTTCTCCCCATGTTTTTATCTGATAGGTGTTGGTGGTGCTGGTGCTGGTGCCATTCAAAGCAATAGCTTCCAGGTTCTTCTATCAGTTATCAGAAATGAAGGATTCTTTGCAATCTACTCAGGGTCAGTTTGCCTTTAGTCAACTTTTACAGCTTGGAGAAATTGTAAAAATCTCTCTAACGCCTAATTAAGTTCTGCTTGTACAAGTTTGTAGTTTCAGAATCCTCATGTGTACTTAATGGAAAGCGGATAAATTATTTACTCTGAAAAAGTGATTTATTCATTTATACTTGGTGATGACTGAAAGTGAGATGAGAATCTGGACCACAGCCGGATTTGAACCAGCGACCATCAGGTTACCATCCCGGTGCACTACTAACTGAGCTACGAGGTCCGACTGCTGACCAGCTTTTTATTTCAATCCAATCATCAAGGGTTTTGCCCGACCCACTATAAATACTATACTGCCAAACTACACCTATCTCAGATAGTCAGATGATGATTTATTCATTCACTGAATGTCAAATACTTGACTTATTTCTCTCCTTTATTATTAAGATATTGCTATCTGTAGGTTTCAGAGGTTCCTCAATGATCAGTTTGAAAATTATTTACTACTCTTATGATTTATATTGACATTTATTGTAGAGTAGTAGTTGTTTCACTGCTCAAGTGTAGTGTCAACAGTGCGTCCGTTGGAAATTAATCAGATTATATGAGATCTAGTTTTTCCAAGTCTGTTAGGGTGGTGTTTAAGATAAACCATCAAAACTGATTTGAGAGTGTTTTGGGAAAATATGAACTGAGAGATTTAGCTACCTACGATAAGTGTTGGATGAAAACGTTGTGCGGGAGATGATAATTATTTCTAATGATGATTCATTTTGATCATTATTGAATTTTATTGTGTTGATCTATTTGTTTGGGTAATTGAAGGTCGAGTGTTGCGATCGTGTCATACAGCCTAACCTGCTTAAGCAACAAGAATAATGAGAGATACTTGAAATGTATTGGAATTAAATCTGACTAGTCATCAGTTAGCATGTTATGGGACACGAATTTTAAATTAATGATGTAACTGTCTGTATAGGGGGAGCTTTTGCATCTCTCATTCTATCTGCTATTGTGAATTGTAGTGAAATCAAAGGTGACCGACTTATATGAGGTTCTACGTTAACCTGTTTGTTTTCTCTTCTAAGTAATTTAACTGAATACTGACTTGTTTACATAGTCGGTTGTATGGCCGTAACTGAGTCAAGGGATTGGAGCTGTGGCTCACCGGTGTAGGCAATTTACGTTTAACCGCATTCTACCTACCAAAGCTTGGACATTAAATGTCGCTGCTTGTCTAATTCACAAGCCTGCTGTAGAAAAAGCTTTAAGGAGCGTAGCTAGTTCTCATGAAGATGTTAGATAATGTCAATGGATCTCAGCTTCTTCTGAACTGACAGACCTGACTAGACGCATTCCTACATGCTGCGAGCACAATGAGGAGTGGAAACAACTCCAATGTAGCCTGATGAGAAGTTTGCTCAATGACTGCGAACAGTGGTGAATAGGGAAGGCTGGAGGGGTAAAAGAGACAACAGCAATAGGCAACATTAGAAAGTCATTAAGACTGATCGAGAAAACTATGGCAAACTTCTCAACGGTTAGTGGGTTCCCAGGACGGAACGCTGGAACGGTGAGTATAACACTTCGAGAAACAGTTCAGCTGGCCTGTCATTATCATTCCACTGTACGCGCTATCAATTTGGGTCTGGAATGGAACACCGAGACAGAGCTTTTAGCACTTACAAAAGTCGAGAGAGCTGTAAGCGGTGTGAAACAAAGAAGGGAGACAGGCCCAGATTGACTAGTACCGAAGGTGTTTAAGGACGTTTGTTGTGGATTAATTAGCAGGTTAACTGAACTGTTGATTAGTATATGGAGGTTAGATATGATCATTTTCAACTGATATCAGTCACTGACTGTCCCTTTCTTCAAGAAAGGGGAGAAATCCTACTGTGATCACCACAAGAGAGTCAGTCTGATTAACAATATTGTCTGAAATTTCAAGTTCTATGATCAAAAGTCTAAGTGGAGGTTGAGAAGAGCGAACCCAAGAAAGCAGGGGAGGCTTCAGACCTGGCCATGTATGTTTGTTGATAAAATGTTCTCCCTCCGCTAGGTTCTGGAACCCAAGCATACTTAGTGATGCGCGACTCTAGCTGTGTTTCTCAACCTGAAGGAGGAGTTTGACTCCATCGTTATGTCAGTGTATCTCACTAAAATAGGTACCGAATAAGTACATTACTCTGTTAAAGGCTGTTTATTCGGACATGCGTCGACCTGTCAGAGCCTATAATGAATTGTCAGGTGAACTGTCTACGCCAAGTGTCCGTTAAGAATGTCCACTTTCTCCATTCTTATTCTATGTTACTCTAGACGTTCTTCTGGAGTTTTGCCTCTCGTCGTTTAACTGCACCGAGGTTGATCTTATCCCAGGAGAATCCTTTGGTTGATGTAGAGTACACAGACGAAATAGTCCTGTTAGATGAAGACGGTGACAAGATGCAGTCTTCTAGACACCTTGAGTGGCAATTTGAGAATGTTTGGTACGCGTTTCTCGCCACCCAAATGCAATTCCTTGTTCCGGGATTGATTTTCAGCAGTAACGGCTAACAATAGAGAAGTAAGTAGTTGAATGCATTGACTGCTTGACTTACCTGGGATGTCGGATCAGGCCTGTTAAGTGTCGAGTGTGCTGTACTTCAGTTTCCTCTGCTCTACTGTGTGAATGTGAAACATAGTCATCAAATATAGAGATGAGAAGGTTTCAGGTGTTAGACCACCATTGCCTTTAGCATTAGAGGCGTGTCCTAAAGTCAATACGTTAGTAATACAGAAGTTAGGTGTGGAGTTTTAGGGAGTAGAGGAGGGTCAGCCGATAAGATCGTGAACATTCGTCGAATAAGATGGCTGAGGCATGTGACAGGCAGGCATAGTCACCGTCTACCTCGTCGTGCAATGTTGGTTGAAGTATGTTCAGGTTGGAAAAAGGCCCGGAGCTGTTACATTAAAAGATGTCATCAATGGATGATGTCTTTGACCGTTGGTATAAGTCGTGTAGGGAAGTATGAACTTCCCAGTTGGGCTCTGCTTGATAATACGAACCAGCGTCAACGGCGCAGATGTATCCACCCATTATCTTCATACTGAATCCAGTATTTTCTCATTCCTCCTTCCTCTTTCGACTGCTTTATACTGCCTTTGACCGATTCATATCTATTCCTTTGTCCTTAATCTTAGTACTTTGCTGCTTAATGTACTGATAGAGGTGTGGCAACTTGACCCGTTACGTATTAATCCCTGGTTCTATGTTGATATTGATGGCGATGATATCTGTGTCTAGTGGTTTCCGTCAAGCATATGCTTTCTTTCACTTTTCACTTAATTTTGATCTAAATGTGCCTATGCAGGTCTTGCAGTTGTCTTCTGACTTTACAGGGATTGATCTTGTCACAAGAGACTGCCGAGTAAATTTAGAGTTCGAAAATGACATAGTCATGTTAACTGAAAACCCTGACAAGTTACAGAGTCTACTGGACATATTGTGTAGCAATATGAGAATGTTTGCGACGCGTTTCTCACCACCTGAGCACAAACTACTACTCCGGAACTGGTTTGTGTTGGTGCCTTTTCTCACAATAGAAAGTGAAATGGTTGAATGCGTTAACTACCTCACTTACATGGGAGGTCGGTTCGGTTCTGATGAGTCTATTGTCGACGAAATCTCTATACAGATAAAAAAAATGCTTGCTTAGCTTTCACCAACCTACGCTTCTGTGATATCTGACTGCCTATAGCGGGCTGACTATATTGCACTGCAGTTTGCTCTGTTCTGCCTAGTAACTGTGAAATATAGATTATGAAGACGTAGGATATCAGAAGGGGTCAGGTATTTGGCCAGTGTTGACTTTGTGGCATAGGTCCTGTGTCGTGGTGTCACTGCATTAGTAATGCAGAAGTTAGGTGTAAAGTTTCAGGGAGAAGAGGAACGTCATTAATATGAGTGCAAGACTTGTACATTGTTGTAAAATGTAATTCCATATTAGATTTTTTTTATTTGATTTGTAACACACAGTGATATAGTATTATTTACTTGATGACGTTCCGAGCACAAATTATTGTTCATAAATCATATCAGTGTAATCATGCAATCTTTGACATCTGGTCTTTCTAGTCTAATCACCTATTCTTTTCTTTTAGTGGTAGTAAAATTTTCCACATCTATGGTACAGGTGTTGGGTCATTTCTATAACATGTGTTGGGTGTTGATTCGATGAAATCTCTCTTTACCTATGCTAGGTTTAAGTACAGTGGTGTTATCCTACCCTATTGCGTGGTTATGTTTATGCATTCATCGGAATGGTCAAGTATTTCTTCTAGATTATTGATTCGATTGAGGTCTGTCATTCTATATTTGACTAAATTCCAATGCTCCGCTAATCTAACTAACCTCGATAGGCTGGTTTGACCTATGCATTTGACCTCATGGCCATTGGATAGAATTTGGTAGATTCTATTATTTTGGTCAATTGAATCTATCGGTTTCTTAAGCCGACAAAGTTTATCTCTGAGTGAGTTTGTATGTTTAAGTGCCATCCTAATTCCAGCCTTACTGGGAATTCTGTTTAAATTTTCTGATATTCCTTCCTTATATGGTAAAACAGTATGGTAACTAAATGGGATCAGTAATCTGGAGAAAAACTCAGTTGTTACAATATATTCATTAACACACAACCATATAATAGGGTGATATAAAACCACTGTACTTAAGTCCAATATCGTTAAGTTCATCGAATTAACACCTAACATATCTAATAGGAATGGCATGAAGTGGCATGTCTCAGAATTGATCTCTCTGGTGCAGATGTATTCACATATTATCTTCATGATCTTCATGCTGAACCTCACTGTTATCTCACTCTTTGTTCTCTTTTCACGAATTTCCAAAACCTTAAAGTGCTTTATTCCTTACTTATTTACCTTATTATCTTGGTGCATTCATGCTTGATGTGGTTGATATGGCAAATTGAACTACTACGCATCAATCCAAATCATTTCCACTTTTGATACTTTGTATGACGTCATCATGACTTAAAAATCTGATTGTGTTGGTTACTCTCCAGTTACCAGTCAGTGTGTCTAATTCAGTCCTACAGGAGGTCAGTCGCTGCCCGACAGAAGAGAACTAGTCGGCGCGGGTTCGAATCTCAGATGGGACATCAGTTCCGTAATGGTTGCAGACACGTCTTGCTGACGAGTTCCAAAAAACACGAAACCTAGGTCTAGGGCTACCTGTTAATTGCCTCCATCCAACTAACAATCTGTGTATTGAATTACATTTTTTGTATAGATTAATGAAAGAAATATTTCCTCAATACTAGTAAAACTACTCTCTTTTTTTTTAGCTTATCTGCTGGCTTACTTCGTCAAGCTACCTATTCAACTGCTCGTTTAGGTATATACACTAATTTGTTTGAAAAGTATTCAAAGTTAAAACAAGAATCTCCCAGCTTCTTCGTCAAAATAAGCATAGCAATTACTGCTGGTATATGTGGTGCATTCATTGGTACACCAGCAGAAATTTGTCTTATCCGGATGACATCCGATGGCAGGTGAGTTGGGCTAATCTTTCGTTGAACTTGTGTTTACTTTTGCTTTCAAAACTCATATTTGAACGTAGTCTGACCAACAATGGACTGGATGATTTCGAAAAACTTGGGCACCGGGTTAGTATAATTCATCGTGTATTTTTTTCCCTTACGTAATCCCAGCATAGTATATTAAAATACACAACAAAATAAACAAATATTTCGTATTATTCCTTAACATTTCGATCTTGCTAGGAAGATCCTTTTCAAGAGTATGAATCTGATACTAAGTTTTCAGGTTAATATTCAAGTTTGATGCAAAAGGTGACCTTTACTATCATCTAATTACATCGTGATATGAAACAAAGGTCAATATAATGTAAGTAAGTGAATTAGTAAATCTGTCAGAGAGGCTTTTTCCACTAGTGCAAGTAAAGTGAGGAAATTTAGTTCAACTAAGAAAAATAGTATGGAGTCATCAGGGGTGAAAAAGAATAAAGTAGTATTCTGGAAAGGTGAATATTTGAACATGAAACAATATATAGTAATCAATAATAGTGATAATGGAGATAATGATAAAGGTACTTATTATAACAGTTGAAGTACGAATGGATTATGTAATATAGAATGGTTCATAGAGCGTATATAACTCAGAAAGGAGCGTGAAATCGATGAAAATAGTAGATCAAAAGAGTATCATACTGTTGAGTTAGACAAGCTGTTAAAATGAAACCAAAAATATTAATTACGAATAGTGGCTAGCAGCGGAATCCAAAACACGCATCTGGTTCTATTTAGAACTCATCAGCTGGATGTACCTACCTCCCAGTGAGTGATGTTGTTCTCGCTTAGAGGAAGGAAACCCTTTTCCAAGACTTTTGCCTTTCCAAATAATATTTTATGACCTGAATTTCAAGGCATGAGCCACGATGGCAGAGTCTTTCCCAAGTTTTCAAGATCACAGTATAGTGGGTGTTACTAATAAGAATGCTCATAAATAGTATATTTTGAGAGGTCGGTAGAAGACATGAGCAATTACGAGCGATGGATAAATACTCTGCTCAGAGAAGTACAAAGCATGACGTGGCTGTATCAATAGCAAGACGAGATAGAAGAACTTAAACACGTGCAAATTGATATTTCAGTGGAAGGTTATAATATTTTACCAGTGATGTACAAATTGTCATAAGAAACAGTCTTTCTGCGATCCATCCTTCGACATTTTCCTTCAATTGATGTTGCTGCTTCTGGACGTGATGAAGATTCTGTGGCCTACAGTGTTTGAGGATGGGAAAATCAAGGCCTTCCTCAGCGATTTTGAATCGGTCGCGCAGTTGATGGGTGTCCGGAATCCAGGGGCGAAGTTCGTGATGCTTAGCACATTGCTGACAGGTCTAGCGAAGGCGGCGTATGACGGCGTCGAACGCGTGGATAAGATGGAGAGTTGGGAGAGAGTGGTTGAACGACTGGACACGGAGTTTGACACCCCAGCGGACATGGGGCTTACGACGAAGCAGTTCCAAAGCACGAAACTTGGGCTAGACGAAGATCCGCTGGTATTAACTGTGAAGTTGAGAAGTCTTTGCCGAACACTTCTTACTCTGGATGAGGACTCTCAGGCAAAGAGATCAACTAAATTGTGTCACTTAAAGTTAGATTCCAACAATTAAAACGACTCTTAAGAAGGGTAGTGTCTAAATTTAGGTTGTTCAACATCACTCATTTTGTACTGGTTCACTTGCATTACACAGGGATCTGTTAAGATATTCGGTTACCCATCAACTGATATGTGTAATTTGAGATACGGTCATTAAAGGTGATGAGCTGCGAAGGTAACAAATGTTTCACTAGTGGCATCACTGTTGAGTTTACGATTACGAGGAGAAAAACATCAGTTGACGATATTTCGAGCCTAGAGCAGTGAGCAATATTTATGTGGCAGGCTTATCAAGAAAGACTTCATCCATCATTTTTCCCGATGAAACATATCAGCTGATAATCTAAATTGTTCAAACCAATTGAATTTGATTAAGTGACTTGATGGGATCGGTATACTACATAAATAGGTGATCAGTTTGGGAATTAGTTTACAAATTGCACGATCCACAATTCACATACAGTTAGCTTAATATCTTTTTTAACTGCACTGTCAACGAAGTTTTTTTTTTGAAGCCATCTAACCGGGGCTATATTTTGTTACCGCCCATACTCAAGTGCCATGACCTAAGTGTACTTCAGGAAGAACACGAGTGAGGACAGATGAAATCTCCTAGAAAATCACACTGAGCTTTGGTTAAATACCAAACCTTTACTTTATGATGATTTCATGTGAATAGTCTTTACATTCCACATTCAGGATATTTTTTCTTCTAATTTCTGTCACCTCATTGTTTGCCTTCTATATTCCCCCCCCCATGTTTCTCGTATCCTTCTTCAGAACTTTTATCGATTGGGTGATAACTCTGCGTGTTTTTCCCCAGGGACATAATGCTTCATACTACTTATACGTGTTCGTATAAGTGGCCCATATAATACTAGTATGAGCAATGTAAGAAGTCAGAAACCACTGAGGTTGGTCGCCAGATCTCTTACGTGGGATATTCGGAAAACTAACATTGTCGATTCAAGGATAATTACTTCGAAAGGCTTTGTTCTCTGATTACCTTTACAAGTCAAGTACTGTATGTAGAATTCAATTTTTAGGTTTATTGGGGATTGATTAATGTCAGCATAGAAACTTATTGGTAAGCCATAAGGCTTACTAACGGATCTCCTATGTTCGGAGTCAGCACTATAGCTTGCGGGTCAATCAAGTTTTTTTGTCTCATTAACCGTCTTTCTCATTATCATGAAAGTTCCTAAATTTAACTAACCAATAAGAAGTGATTTCTCAATATTTAATTTGCATTTCATGCTTTACAAGAAATGGTATATTTTGAATAGGGTTATACTTTTAAATCACTAGATTACCACCAGCGGAACGTCGAAATTATTCGAATGTCTTCAATGCTCTGATGCGGATTACTCGTGAAGAGGGTCTGTTCACATTATGGAGGGTAAGTGGCTTAATTTTTAACTCGTAATAACATTCTTCAGGTGTAGTAATATTGTGTATCCAGTCATAAGACGATAAATGTTTGGTTTAGATTCAACTAGTCTGGTTTCTCAGGTTTAAAAGCTTCTAACCATCTTTTGAAGTATATGAACTGGGTAAATCTGTTTGTATGTATCTGAAACTGCCCGTTTGAGTCGTTCGTGAAGAGTTGTTTGGTTCCTTAGCATACTTTTGTTTTAGACTGCTCTCAGCAACCTTATGCACTAAGTAGTAAGCTACATCTGTTGAAAGAGGGTTGAAAATACGATTTGACTGTTAAAACCTCAGTAGATCGAGTACAGTTTGAACCCATAACTCACTGGTGATAGAAAGTCGATCCCCTAGACCAGTGAGTCACAGCTCCAGTTACTGCTTCCTTATATATATATATATATATATATATATATATATATATATATATATATATATATATATGTAATTTTGTATGGGCCACATCGTAGACAAATTTTCATCTAAGAAGTTATAAACTCAACTATTTATATTCACAATTGATTTACTAAGGATAGCTAGGGTTTTGTTTTCAACACTATCAAGACGTATGATAGTGTGTTGACGTAAAGTAAGAGAATATGTTTGATCTCAGAAAAAGTTTGTGCAACCGTCGATCAGTCTATCAATTAAAATGCATAGTATAAACACTAAATTATTTGACTGGACCTTATGATCTGTTGTATTTAGGTCAGTAGATAATAAAACCTTTAAATCTAGATATCGGGTTTACCATAACAGTAACAATGATAATCATCCGGCCATTTTTTTTTGTCTGTAAATAACATCACCAAAAATATGGTTACTATAACCTTGACATACTCTAGAAAAATTTACTGAAATTACATGGCAGTGGTGAAAAATTGATTAAATTATGGTAGTATACAAATAGATTGATTGAGAAAGTTTCTTGAGTTTGCTAAATATGCTAACATCGACTACTTGATTTACTTTTATTTATTCTATCAATAAGCTTTTGTTTTGTATAATGGTTTAGGTGGGCTAAACAAATTAATTTATCATCCTTCTGAAGTCACTTGACACCTATTCTTGAAGTTGCACAGATGCTGATATCTGGTACGACACGACACTGGAAGATTTGTCGACCTAAAATCCAATACAGAAAGCAACTTATTCCGAACATTTGCGTCTTTAACTAAAAGTGCTTGTTACAACCTCTAGAAACTGTTCATAAAATATCACGTTTTTATGAAAATTTCTGAGGAACGATGAACTGAGTATGTAACCCATATAAATCTTGTAATGATCTTATGGTTTAAAATAGAAGTTACTTAACTCGTAATAATATAGTATCATGTTGGGTGATGGCTGGAAGGAATTGGTAGGAGACTGTCGACCTGGCTATAACGCCATTTTTTTTATTCGTTAGCAAGATTTATCCACAGTTTCGACGAACTCTGTTCTCCTGTAAGAGGTTCAAATCTGAGTCACCTATTACTACATCATAAGAGGCTACCACCGAGATATTTCCCCTTAATAATCGCATAAAGGATAGGATTTTTCACATTGGATTGTACTGGTGAAACTCAATTTATTAATTTGATACTGAGTTCACTGACTATTTAACATTGACCAGACAATTAGTATTTGGCACTCCATAACTTAAACTAATACACTATATTCCATCTGGAGGTTTGTGGAGATTTATCAATTGATTTTAAGTTGAGTTTCGTCATCGACTGACATAAGCTGAAGAAATATTGGAAACCTGGAGCACTAGACAGCTGTTCCGTCCCAGTTAGGACTCCTCAGCAGTGCGTACTCATGACACCCCACCCTCCAGGGATCGAACCCAGAACCTTCAGGTTCCGTGGCCACCACGTTACTATTGAGCCAGTGGATCGGAACCCAGTGATCCATATTTGCTACTTGTGTCAATTCACGATATAGCGTGACCTCCATTGAATGTGGTTGTTGAGTAAGTGTCCTGATGTTCGACTTGTTTGAGTGGACTGCTCACGACTTGTCATTGGAACTTTGGGAATCACCTCACGAAGCTAGTCACCAATGAGCACTAGATTAATTCTATGTGGAGGTTTATTAATTGATTTTAGGTTGGAATTCATCGTGAACTGACAGAAGTAGAAAATGTGGACCGTTGGATTCTGACTCAGTGACTCAATGGTAACGTGCTTGCCACGGAACCTAAAGGTCCTGGGTTCGATACCTGGAGAGCAGGGTCATGGGTGCGCACTGCTGAGGAGTCCCGCACTAGGACGAAACAGTTTTCTAGTGGTGCCAGGTTTCCAATGTCCCTCTAACTGATGTCAGTTCATGATGAATTCCAACCTAATTCAGTATATGGATAGCGATAGCAGTCTATCGAGAAAGATTCGCTTCAACTAAAGAGTATTAATATTGTGTTATTTTAACAAACAATTTAGGTATTATGCACATGTAAAAACTGGGTTCATGTGTACAGTTACTTACGAGAACATAAATCGTTACGCATAACTGACCAAAAATATCTTTAATTCATTGTACTGACAAAGAATAATTAATCAGTAGATACATATGTAGTGCTTTTGAATGAAGTTGGATTTTGGTGGTGGTGGTGGTGGGAGCAGATAGGTCATGTTATTTCCGTTTATTTCATTCAGTAGTAGTCACCCGACAGATCGTCTAACCACACTCCGTCAGTCGAATAACCAAATAGTTTCATATATACTATGATGATTACTATTTATTGACATACTTGTTATTCTCCGTTGTTTTGTTGGATCGAATTGTTCAACCTCTATTGGTATATGGGCTCCTAAGCGGATGCCTCGATATTGCCTGAATGTCAATCATGATAATTTGGTTGGTTGTGGCTAGCAGAAGAATCCAGGATGCGCATCTCGTCCTATTTGGGACTCGTCAGCTGGATGTACCCGCACCCCAGTGATGTTGTCCCCATGGAAACTCGAACCTCGTACCCATCGCTTCAAACGCCAAGGCGTTATCCACTCTGCCACAGAGGAATACGCGTCCTGGATTCTTCTGCTAGCCACAACCAACCAAATTATGATAATTGTTGTGAAAAATGTTGATTTACTACGTAACAACATGAATGATTAGAAAACGTTCACACTGATCTGATCTGAAAGGCTGTTTGGTTCAAGAAAGCTATACTCATTCCATTTACTTGTCACATTTGACTCCTATGTGATTCTAACTTATCAGAATACATTATAGATTAGCTTTACTCGAAGAAGATCACTAAGGAAATCTACACTTCTGTGTAATTGGTTTCTAGTTACTCATGATGTTCAGTATATTTCTTTACGCTTTTGTATGAGCAGTCACAAAATGTCGAAACTTGTGTACATTTGTGCATTAAGCAATGAGGGCTAATGATGCTGAGTGGTTGCCTAAACTCTATTAGGTGAAGCAGGGTTCGAACTCGTGATCCACAAAATGTAATGTTGACTGAGTGGTTTGAAAAAGTCGTCTTGGCGGCAGCACAACTGATTTGATCATGAAATGTTTCGGTAAAGTGTCAAGCTGATCCATATAGTTGACTAGTAAACGTTGCGAGTTTATCATGTATTTTGCAAAAAGTAGAATCTTAATACTTCTTGTATGCTTTAATTAAATTGTCGGATTTTTTAAATAATTTGGTATACCTTTCTTTTCTCGAACTCATTTGTGTAGTATTCAGCGTGTTTGGTACATACATTCTTTGTTTTGCTTAAAAGTTTCAAGGTTAAAATATTCGATACCTTTTTCGTCAACTATGCTTCCACTAGCTCATATTGTATTTTTAAAAATATTGTACTGACCTCGGTAAAAATGAGCGGATAAGTGTTTTATATTCTCTTCAGCTCTGTTCGTAGACATTTTAGTCTTATAAACTGACTGAGTGATTCGAAAATTATCTACAGATCATACGGTCTACATAGATATTTTTCGTAAACTAGTAGCTGTTCAACTGCCTAACAGCAGTGTCAACAAGGTTTCGTTTGGAAACCACGAACCAGGATTATAAAGTATTTTCTCTGACAAAAGTATCATGTGTGAAATATACCCATCGGGGTATGAAAGAAGAACAAGTATTTCATCGGAGTCTCTTTTCAGCGATTTCTTTTTAATACATTGAATATACTCATTTAGACATTTAGAAAAAGACTGATTGAACGAAGAAATACATTTCTTTTCAATTAGGTTTTCATCTTGGGCTCTACACTAATATATAGGGGGTTTACAATTTAATCAAATTACCAATCACGTGGTGACGTTTCGGAAATAATGATGTAAATAATCAATAGAGTTACTAAAATAGGAAATATGAATATTGATAGGAACAAGAAGGGGAAGAGGTGCATAAAATAAACCTAGAAGTTACATCATGTTGACGGCCACAGTAATGAAAGTGGTCAAAAAAACTTCTTTTGGATACAAAGGCTAGGTTTGTAAAGGTGGATTGCAATCACCTCTGCTATGTGAAGTAACCGAGTGCGTAATCCATGAGGTAAATTAATTGGAATCTGATGGATAATTTTGAAAGCTTTTCCAGTAACCACTTGATGTCCTGTGTCAATTAAGTGTGCAAGTATGGAGCTCTTTATAGTTCTAATTTGTCCCTTGTTCATAGTTGTACAATCGTAATTTTATACATTTTTCTAGTGTAAGGATTTGATAGTTAGAAAAACGGTTTGTCAAGCATAACACAAATAGTGTCAGTAGCTGGGTCCCTATGTATCGTATTAACGCATTAACGCTGAGACTAGTAGTTTCTTGTCACTCAACTATTTCCAACAACTAAAAGGAGAAACTTTCATATCTGACCACTTCTGTGTGCATATATAAATTCACCTGCTTTTGTGGAGCTAGCCATTTCACCAAGAGTTCTCAACCACGGATTTCTATTGTTTTGGTGACCCCAGCAGTACATGTCCAAGCCATCTCTGTCAATTAAGGTTCACAACCTCATCAATTGACTTACCTAGTACCCTTCGACTGATCTCAACATTGCCTACATGGTGATTCCACCAGATGCCGGCAATGCTACGAAGACAGCTATTATCAAAACCCTGTAACTGCTTCATATCTTCTACTTTTAACGGCCATGTTATGTCTCACAGCCGTATAAAAGGACTGAACAAACTACAGATCAGTATACGCGTTCTTCGATAAGTAGACGGATCTCTCACCGGTCGGCACCACAAATGACGCTAGTTGACAAGCGTGAAACTTCCCCTCCTCATCCAAGCTGCGATTTCGTCAGCAACCAGCCTCTTCGGGCTGATCCAACTCCCCAAGTAAGTGTAGTGGTCGACACATTCCGCCACTTCACTCCCTATCATTAAATTAGGAGTGGTTTCAGACGAGCACTGAAGCATCATCTTGCATTCGACAGGTGCGAAACGCGTGCGAAACATGCTCAGATTTCTGCATTTTTTGTCAGCGCTCTCACTCAACAGGGCAAAGTTATCTGCATACCTTAATTCAATCAGATGTCCTTCAGGGTGTAGGTCAATCCCTGCGAGGCCAGACGTACCTAAGGTTATATCCATTAGTACGTCTGTAACGAAATTAAACAGGAACGATGACGGTGAGCATTCCTGACAGATACTACTAGTTGTCATCAATACTGACGACAAGTCTCCATCGACCCTTAAACGCCTGCATGATTCTGGGTAAAGAGCTTGGCTCAGCGTTAAATACTTGGTCGTTACTCTCTTCAAAGTCAGACACTGCCACAACACCTCACAGTCGGCAAAGTTGAATGTTGTCTTCAGGTCAAAAATATGGCAAACGTCAGCCGCCGGTAAATATGCCTGTACTCTATAACCTATCGAAGGTTGAAAGTCTGATCGATGTAACCTCCTCCATGTTTGAAACCTATCTGGTTTTCTCAAGTTTGTTTTTCCTGAATTCCGGTTACGCTTCGGATAACCATGGACCTGAATATCTTGGACAGAATGTTAGTTAGTTAGACTAATTCCCCTATGGTTTTCACAAGAAGACTTATCTCCTTTGTTATGGATTGGGATGATCAGTGAGGTAGACCAGTCTGACGGCACTACCTCTGATTTCGATACATTACGTAGTACCTCGGTCACTCTAATTAGCGATTCCCTACCTCGATCTTTGAAAACTTCAAGCGGCGAACTGTCAGGTCCTGCTACTTTGCACAGTTTTAGGTTTGATGTAGAATTTTCAACTTTGATGAGGTTTGGAGGACTGACATCGTTGTCCTATTCCGGTTGAGGCTAACTACGCTTCCAAGCGTTCTTCCCAACGTTCTAGCTGCCTGTCCTGGGAGGTTATCACTGTTTCATCCTTTCCATTGATGATTTTATCCACCGTCGTCTTTTTCTTGCTTTATCTTTAATCAGCTTAAATGTTTGGTGGGTGTTACCCAATGCTGATACCTTTCCATCTCGCTCACTTTCGCAACCCACCACTGTTCGCAGTCGGTGCGAAGACTCTTAGTCAACCTACATTTGAATTGCTTTCGCTCTTCAGTGTGGTCAGAGCCAGCTAGAATAAGTCTTCTGACACCAATTAGTTTGCATAACGTCGCAGAAACTCAGTGTTTTCTAACATTTGTGCTTAAGTTACCAATTGTCTTTACTGCTCTTTCTGCAGAAGACCTAATATCACGCCAGGTTTCCGTAGGATGAGGACGGCTATCACGTTCAGATAAATGCTCAGCTAACTCCTCTGTAAATGCGTACCTAACGTCTTAATCTTCCAATCGAACGCAGATGACTATCAATGCCTTCTGTTTTCCGTGATAAGTAAGGCGGAGACATACGTGCTCCCGTATTTCCGCTTGTTCAGAGTCCAAGCAGATACTACAGAAAGAGCCGCAATCTTCTACCGATCCTTTCTAACTATGACTTATAGAAATATAGTCTATATGTGTCCATCTATCGTTTGGAATCGGTGGACGCCATGTGAGACAGTGTCTCTCCTTATGCCTAAAGTTAGTGATAGCGAGAAACAAGTGACAGTTGGAGCGAAATTGCAACAGAAGATCACCGTTGTCAGTTTGTTGGCATGGGTTTCCGTAAATACCCTCAAGATGACTTTCTGATTGTCTTAGCTTCCATACCTGAGCGTTAAACTCATCTTTCATTATAACTACACCTGAAGGTTTTGCTTTCCGTAGCAAGATTGACAGCTTCTCATAGAACTCATCCTTTGCATCAGTCAAACTGCAGTCGGTGAGTGCATAGGCGGATTACGTATAGGCATCGGTTGGTCTTATGATCCATTCAGTCGAGCAGCACATACACGGCTGTTGATTGGTATTCAGTCTGACCTACAACTCAATGCTATGCCCACACCAGTGAATCCACGAGATCTAGTCATTGGTTCTCCGGATACTCGCAATATGAAGATTCACTACTATGGTCAAGTGAGTTCAATTTAATAGCCACACTTGGATCCTATATACGATTCTCAGAAACACAGCATACATCCATGCCTAGAGATGACAGTTTTGGCGAGCAGTGCTTGCTGTCTGATCTGGTATAGAGTTCGGACGTTGAAAGCTACTACATGATGTCAATGGTAGGGTCTTAGGAGACTAGGAATGAGGTTTCGACGGTTTTGATCGCTTATAACGGTTGCAGAGAGAGAGAGAGAGAGAGGTTAGGTAGGGCATGAAAGGTGAGGAGGTGAAGGTAAAGGAGGAGACAGAGTTGAGAAGGATAGGTTGTTTGATTGGGTCTTATGTACTACTGGAAGTGTGAAGGCAGTTGATACTACCCGGCTGCGTATACTGTGGAGGAATATTTCTTCTTAAGGTACCTGAAAAAGAAAAAGATTTGTGTAACCACAGAAATCATGAGACATCTGCTTGGGGTCGATCAAACATGGCCTTTTGGCAATTTTAAGACTTTAGTTTTTTACTTTTAAATCCGACTGCGAATCCCTGTTGCAAGGTGTATTTTTCGGGGGGTTGGCCTTTGTCCATCGCCCTTTTCTTTTCGAAAGGCAGCATCGTCGTAGCACTGTTTTTCACCTGAGGGAAACACCTTACCGTAGTCACACTCCATCCAGCTAGCATCAGTGTTATTTCTGCCTCTGTCTCCCATCATAATTTGTACTACAACGGTAACTTGTATTTCGTCTTATCGCTGTCTAACAGACCTTTGTAGCGTGGTAAGAACTCGAGGGAACAATTGTTTCAGTCAATGCAGCTCGTTGAGTCATTGTGATATGCAACCGCGTCCACAACGTCAAGTTAGCAGCTATTGGTCGGTTGTACTGATTTCTAAGTTCACCCTTTTTCATTCGCTAGGTCACGAGTGTTGAAACAAAATGCTAACAGAACGAAAAAAACTAAATTAGCTGAGTGTTGTGGTGTTTGTTTGGCATTTGTTAATTCTCAGTAAGATAAGAAAGAGCAGATTTTAAATGGCCAACTTCTGAATTTGTATTGTTCTCAGTGAACTGGAGAAATAGTATCTGCCCTCAAAAATATGGTTATTCTAACTGTGAAAAAAGTTGACTTCAGTATTCGCTGCTTACAGTAATAAAGACTGGATGTTTTTTTAACGTGAAAATAATTTTTGAGTTCTTGCAATTATCACTCACTAGTTGATATACTTGAATTTTAACTAGTGATACGTGTTACAACCTCAACTCACCAGCACTCACACAATGCATACAGCTCATTACATAATACACCAAGTTGCGTATAGTTCCTGAGTTATGTTGTTGTCTTTCTTATTTATGTCCAATCATATTTTTTAGGGTGCGATTCCTACTATGGGACGTGCAGCTGTAGTTAATGGTGCACAGTTAGCCACTTATTCTCAAGCGAAACAGAAAATCCTAGAAACCGGTGAGTTAATTAAGCAACTGTTGATTAGAAGTGAAATTATTTTCTGATTAATATATTCAAATCTTGCGTTGATCCAAGTTTTCTTTACCTCGTGTATCATAAAAACAAGTCTGTCAACCCACGACTATCTAATTCAGTCTTCCCAATAATCAATCTAATTTTCCCTCTTTTCCATTCAGCTTAATTTTTGGTAGGATGAGAAGTGGCTGGGTAGCTAGTATGATAACAATAAACAAGCAGTCACGTATAATGTCTTCAAATGACAACCAGACAAAATCCTTGGTGATTAGAGTTTAGTTAATACCTAGAAAACAGTAGGGTCTCGTAGCTCAGTCATTCCAGCCCCATACCAGCAACCCGAAGTCATTTGGTTTGAATTTCGACGCAACCTAGATTTTCATTTCACCTTCAGTTATCGCTCCGTTTCAGAATGTATGTAGATGTTACGTTCTTAGTTTCCAAACGGACATATATATATATATAAAGCAACTGGTCCCTTTGATAAATTTAAACAGCATAATGAGAAGACGAAGATTATCTGAAACATGTGATGTATTAGGGCTATACATTTCGAACAATCTGATCACACATGGACTAGTCGAACTATTTATATGAAAATTTACGAAAAGGCCAATGAAGTTAATGGGAAACATAGGAATAGGAAGGGATAGAAAAAAAGGAAAACCTTATTCTTGGTATGAAAATTAAAATCAATACTACCAAGGTAGGTTCAACGTGAGTACAAATTGTTTTTGTATACATAAAGGGGGTTTAAATTTACGGATGGCAAGAGCTTCAATAAATTTAAGCACTCAGCTCTGACCACTTTTATGTAGTACTTTGAAGGCTGTTTTCATGTCTATCCTATAGTTAGTTCCTAGTATATGTTTAGCGATAGACGAAGATGGATGTTTGTCACCTGCACTTATCGGATCTGTTGAGGTCATTTGTTTTTGTAGCCACTTAGGTACATGTTCAACCTTCCTTAACTGCATATCACGATTACTCCTCCCTATATATGTGTGTCCACACACACATGTAAATTGATAAACACAGTGGGGTGTGATGTAATCGTTTATATGTTGTTTCGGTTTGTGCTGTAACATGGACTTGGTCTTCTCTACAATGATGACCTTAGCTGCATAATACGTTTTACAGATGGCCGATCTAAGTCTTTTCCTCACAACAAAGCTATATGGATCACCTCTAAATGGTAATGAGATGTAGACATTTGTCTTAGCAACGGAACACTGTGTACTTTTCAATGGTACATAACTTTTGCACCGGTCGATAAATCTCAACGGGTATCCATTCTGTATCAGAGTTGTCGTCAGTAAGTTGGTTTCTTCCTCCCTGGTGTCATCGGTGCAGATACGGTTTATCCTGTTGAATAAGCATCTGACTAAACCACGTTTATATTGGACTGGACAATAGCTATGGAAATTATGATATTGCCCTGTCCATGTAGGTTTCTTATACATCGACCTCCTGATCGAGCCATCCTCCCGTCGACTGAGCAATACGTGTAGGAACGGTAGCTGGTTGTTCGTCTCTTGTTCATAAGTCAGGCTAATGTGATTCTGAGACGTGTTCATTTTCTGTAGCAGGCACATTGCATCATCAGGCTTTTCACATATAATGACTATATCATCAACATATCTCTTATAAAGTTACATGTATACATCAACATGTCATATGTTGAAAACATGGCTGACGATCTCATCGGAAGGGTTTCACTTTATAAGAGATATGTTGATGATATAGTCATTATATGTGAAAAGCCTGATGATGCAATGTGCCTGCTACAGAAAATGAACACGGCTCAGAATCACATTAGCCTGACTTATGAACAAGAGACGAACAACCAGCTACCGTTCCTAGACGTATTGCTCAGTCGACGGGAGGATGGCTCGATCAGGAGGTCGATCTATAAGAAACCTACATGGACAGGGCAATATCTTAATTTCCATAGCTATTGTCCAGTCCAATATAAACGTGGTTTAGTCAGATGCTTATTCAACAGGATAAACCGTATCTGCACCGATGACACCAGGGAGGAAGAATCCAACTTACTGACGACAACTCTGATACAGAATGGATACCCGTTGAGATTTATCGACCGGTGCAAAAGTTATGTACCATTGAAAAGTACACAGTGTTCCGTTGCTAAGACAAATGTCTACATCTCATTACCATTTAGAGGTGATTCACATAGCTTTGTTGTGAGGAAAAGACTTAGATCGGCCATCTGTAAAACGTATTATGCAGCTAAGGTCATCATTGTAGAGAAGACCAAGTCCATGTTACAGCACAAACCGAAACAACATATAAACGATTACATCACATCCCACTGTGTTTATCAATTTACATGTATGTGTGGACACACATATATAGGGAGGAGTAATCGTGATATGCAGTTAAGGAAGGTTGAACATGTACCTAAGTGGCTACAAAAACAAATGACCTCAACAGATCCGATAAGTGCAGGTGACAAACATCCATCTTCGTCTATCGCTAAACATATACTAGAAACTAACCATAGGATAGACATGAAAACAGCCTTTAAAGTACTACATAAAAGTGGTCAGAGCCGAGTGCTTAAATTTATTGAAGCTCTTGCCATCCGTAAATTTAAACCCCCTTTATGTATACAAAAACAATTTGTACTCACGTTGAACCTACCTTGGTAGTATTGATTTTAATTTTCATACCAAGAATAAGGTTTTCCTTTTTTTCTATCCCTTCCTATTCCTATGTTTCCCATTAACTTCATTGCCCTTTTCGTAAATTTTCATATAAATAGTTCGACAAGTCCATGTGTGATCAGATTGTTCGAAATGTATAGCGCTAATACATCACATGTTTCAGATAATCTTCGTCTTCTCATTACGCTGTTTAAATTTATCAAAGGGACCAGTTGCTTTAAATATATATATTACAGCACAAGTAGTACAGCCGAAAACAATATGAGACCTGGCACAATCGTTCATATTGCTCAGCGTCATCATAAATATGAAAAACCAATCAATTCGTTTTCTACCTTTTCGTTAGTATGACATATATTATTCATCAGGTGGAGGGAGATGTTAGGTATGGTCATAAATTATTTGGGAATCCGTTGCTGTTTGGGGTTATGATGAAATTTACACTACATCATTTCAGTTGGTCAGTTATTTCTGTAAAGCATATGAATTTTCTTTGCCTAGTGATGCTTTTAGCGCTGTTCCTATAATCTATTCAACAACATCCTTTGGCTTATTGATGTGGAAGTACTCCTGTATACTTGTAGTTTTACTTACGTGGTTACTTGATTTGGCACCAACTAAATGTGGTTACATATACATAAATAGTAGTTGGCGAACTTCTAGCCTTTTCCAAGTAAGGTTATTCACTGAGCCGACCGCGAAAAGTCGAGTTCAAAACACATGCTATAACATTGTGCACGTTCGTGCTGTTGATAAGGGGGTGACTACCATCGTGTGTAGGCTAATGATGCCACTTGGCTGGACACATCTTGATAGGTGAAGCGGTGCTGAACCTGTGACCCACCACTTGAAGGTTGAGTGCCTAGACGAATGAGGCACAGCTTCATCGCAGAAATCGTTCAGTAGGCAATGGAGTAAAACGAAAGACGTAAATTTGTGTATTGGTTTTTGAAGAGCAATACAATTCACGAACTGAGCAAAATCAACTGTTAAATCCAAGGTACAGAAAGTGGTTTCACAAGACGGTTTTCAGCACAGCGTTTCTCCTTTGCTACATGCATAGCTAATACTGCAGTTAAACATTAGTGGTGGAAAAATAGACCTCTCCAAATTACCTTTCAGGATGAATCTAGAGGAACTGAATAACCTGGGTGAACTAGGTGTTCTGAAATGGATACAGCTGTTTCCCTCCGATCGTCTTTGGTAAGCCAAATCGTGAAATGTTCAGCAACGCACTTACCATGTTCAATATAGTCAACTCCACAGGAGTATGCGAATTTATACACACACATAGATGTAGACATCAGCGACAACCCATCCTCTACACGTTTTCGAATCAGACGATGGATCGACAATATCGATCTCAGTCTAGGAGAATGAAAGGTACTATTGATAAACTTCGACAGACGGCTTTTCATCACTTCGAATGTCGTGTCCCCTTTAGATTAAAAATTCCTGATTTAAATTTTCTTTTGAATGAGTATACATTACTCAACTGTATATTTCATGAGTTTCAATTTCAACATCTACCGGGTCTTCTGAACAGATTTTATAGGTTCAAGAACACAGTGAGTGAATGAGATTTCTTTTACATCTAACTGGTACCTAAGTATCCAGTCCAAGTTGGTTTGCAATAAACTAACTTTTAGATGGAGCTATCATCTCTTCTCTTTAACATTACATCAAGGGAGTGAAACGCTGAATTTGACTCTTCTTCTACAGTAAATTTAATAGACAGGTGACAATCATTGAACCATCTGAGCAGCTCATCCACCGGACATGTTTTGTCGCGAATAAGGAACATATCGTCAATATATCTTCCATACAGATAATGTTCCAAGATTATTTCGTTTAGCGGTCCATGTTCCAGCTTTGCCATGAAGATATCAATCAGGGTAGGCGTCTAGTGAACACCCCATTGAAACTCCTTCCGTCTGAGTCTAAATCACATCACATAGTCTGAACTGTACATTAAACGTACGTCTTAATATCAGCTCCTTTAGGTGACTCGTAGATAATCCAATGTTAGTATTACTAGAGTCAATGTACTTGCATAAATAACAAACAGTTTTAACAAGTTGGAACATTAGTAAATAAAGAAAAAACATCAAGTGGTATACCGTTACGTTGATCTCTTCGATGTAGATAACAAAGCCAAGTGTATCGAGAAGAATATATTTGCACAGATTTAGTCTCACAGGTTAAAGAATTTTAGCCAGCCACTTCACCAATGAATGATGCAGTGAATTAAGAATATCCAGTATCGGGCGAAAGGGAAGGCCATCTTTATACACCAGCAGTCCATATAAACGGAGTATGGTTAAATCAGATGGTCTAAGATATTCATATATATTCGAGGTAATTATGAATTCTTCTTTCATCCTTCAGATTTTCGATATTTGATTTTCAATACCTTCTGCCCTGTCTTTTTGGTCTCTGGATTCTAGAAATTTATTTTCATCGCTAGGAATTATGCATATTTTATTAATATAATTCATCCCATCCGAAACAACGATACTAGATCCTTTATCTGGACGTACAATATAATATAATATTCTTGTTATTTAGTAGTTCTTTCGGTTGCACTTTGTACCCTTTTGATATCATACTTCTATGTCAACACGGTGTTTTCAAATCTTGATAGCAACAATATAATAAAGTGGGTTTAAAATCTTCTAAACTTTCTCAAGATATCCGGATCAAGTCTGGAGTCTGATTAATTAGGTTTTCAAATTGCACTTTTGTATCAAGCTCACTAGTTTTAGATGAGATACAGCAAAACTTTGGACCCAAAGATAGAATCCACATCTGAATGTTTAACAGGGTTATACTGAAATTGTGAACACGTATCTCTCTGGTGCATTTGGGAAATTTTCATGTGACTTGGTAGTTTTGAAACTTTTCAATAATTTAATTATTACACCTTCAGATCTCTTCTTGATCACTTCTGATAGATAGAGTTCAAATGGATCACGTTCTTCACTCGTTAATTCGTAAGTAAAATACTCTCGTTGAGAAGTATTTCCCTCTAGTTCAGGAAGGCGTACACGGATGGCGTCAATCAGATTTAAGGCATGTCTCTTCAACGTTCGAGCATTAGGATAAATGCGACTCTATCAATCTTGCACAAGTGTACGTATAAATTTACACGCTCATGTGGAGTTGACTATATTGAACATGGTAAGTGCGTTGCTGAACATTTCACGATTTGGCTTACCAAAGATGATCGGAGGGAAACAGCTGTATCCATTTCAGAACACCTAGTTCACCTAGGTTATTCAATTCCTCTAGATTCATCCTGAAAGGTAATTTGGAGAGTTAAGTTGAACTACTGCTGAGGCCTATGTTTCCACAGCTTGTCCAAAACTGAAACACTATGTGCACATTATCCTAGATTTAAATTTCGCATCAATTTTGAAGCTATTTTGATCATTGCTTTGTCGATTTAGTGAATTGGATCACGTTAGTTATTGGTTGGTGGTCAAATCTGTAGAACATATAAAGACGTCTTAGATAGACGACCAGATTCACTAGGGTGGGACATCAGGGAAAGGTGATTTGGCTCATTTTTCACACGCCACAACATGAAATAAATAGAAAATTGACAGAAATACGGTGCGAAAGTTCAGCTTTGCCACTTCGGTTTTCTATAATTTTGCTTTAGTTTGTTTGTTTAGCTTCCTTCTATTGGATGAAGGATGGAAGATAAATAGAGCTAGAAAAGCAGACTTTGGAAGATATTGTGATACTTTTTAGAAGAATGTGAGGCTTTAGTTCTTTTCCAAACTTGATTAAGTAAAAACTTACTGTGTAAAATACTCTGGAGATTAACTAACATTCAATAAATAAACTATAAACTGCACAACGTAAATAGTAGGAGGTCGAGAAAGCAGTAGCAACTAAGAAAAGTTAACAGGATGCTTGGAATTTTCATGATAAGAAGGTAATACGTCCTCGCTATTCTTCGAAATTGTGGTTCGTGTCACATAATTTACGAGCATCAATCTTTGATTAACGTGTTAGGTTGCCATAGTAAGGCAATCGTAACCTACTCTACGCTACTTACACCAACAGTTTGTGACTTCGTAGTTATTTTCAATTTTTTAGTCTGACATTATAGTGGACGCTGCTGATCAGAATGGTTATAAGTAATATATGTTGAGATGGCTGCAGAAGTCATAAACAATTACCAGCAATAGGTAAAGATTCTGCCCACAAACGGAAGAGACAATGTAGGCGTATTAAGAGCAAATCAAGATAGTAACAGAAGAGGAAATTAGGCACATTATGCAGATGACTGTCTTAGTGAAAAAGTGTACAATATTTGATGGATACTGTACAAGATGTCAATAATAGACATTCCTTCCTGTGTCTCAGTCTTCTTGTTTCCTACAACATGATATCTAATTTTTTTGATCAGTCACATAAACTGAACAATTTTGTCTACTTTAGAAGTAGTATTCATCATGGACTGACATCAGTTGGGGGAACCATTGAAAATCTGGGAGCACTGGACAGCTGTTTCGTCCTAGTATATAATAAATACATTACTCTATAGTGCTCATTAGTGACTTGCTTCCAGATGGATGTTAGGAAGTTCTAATGAGAAGCTGTGACCTGTGGGGTCAACCAGTCGGAAGTGAAGTGGATGCTAATTTTGTCTACATTGACAGTCTTCGATGATTGAATATAAATGTTCATTTTATTGCTTTTAAAATGGAATGCCATCAAATGATCATACTGGAAGCTATTCGTTCAAAATTTGTTAGGCTATGAAAGACTCTAATTTATAATCTCACTGGTTATAAGTTGCATACTCAAACCAGTTATCTTATTCATGTATGATACTGCTTACTTTATAGGTGTAGTTCTTGAAGGCATGTGCCAGGAAGTGTATGAGACTATTAATCATAGTTCGTGAATTTTTTTTTTTTGATATTGTTCATTTCTGATGCTAGATTTATTACCAGATACTAGTATTGGCATTTATCATGAAACTAAGTATACCTCAAACTGAAGATCGTTTGGAATAAATTCGATTTAATTGATTTCTGATACTCGTCATACGTTTATCTGACCTATAGTACAGTAATGAATGAGTTTTTTCTAAGTAGATTACTGCTTCTTTTTAATTTTAACTATGTTGGTTTTATCACGCATTTTTCAGTGTTGTAATGAACGCTAAATGAAGTACAACTAGAGTTTGTATGGAATCAAAAAAACTAATAGTTAACGGTGTTTCAGCTTCACTCCAGTCATTCATTAGCCTAATACCGATAACTCTATCTGGAGGTTTGTGGAGATTTATCAATTGATTTTAAGTTGAGTTTCGTCATCGACTGACATTAGCTGAAGAAATATTGGAAACCTGGGAGCACTAGACAGCTGTTCCGTCCCAGTTAGGACTCCTCAGCAGTGCGTACTCATGACCCCACCTCCAGGGATCGAACCCAGAACCTTCAGGTTCCGTGGCCACCACGTTACTATTGAGCCAGTGGATCGGAACCCAGTGATCCATATTTGCTACTTGTGTCAATTCACGATATAGCGTGGCCTCCATTGAATGTGGTTGTTGAGTAAGTGTCCTGATGTTCGACTTGTTTGAGTGGACTGCTCACGACTTGTCATTGGAACTTTGGGAATCACCTCACGAAGCTAGTCACCAATGAGCACTAGATTAATTCTATTTGGAGGTTTGTGGAGGTTTATTAATTGATTTTAGGTTGTCTATTGAGTTGACGTATCATCGAAATGGGTAAAGAATTATCTATAAATTGAGCAACTCTCAAAGCTAAAATTTTTTATCGAGTATATCGCTGTTATTTAATGTAATGATGAAGTCACTACGTAGCTCATTATTGTCTGCTCAAAATGATGGATACGAAAAGTTGTCGAACACCATCCCTTTTGGTCAGTGAGTGACTTGAGAGAGGTCATCTTAACACTGTTAGACCATTTCACTAGTTTAGATTGCGATTTATCCTCAGCATACCCCAGTGGATTCACCTCATAAGACTGAATTGTTCAAACCACTCTAATTGTGTTTGACAATGATATTTTACACGTTGGTTTCATTTTATTCTCACTTTGGACTGTGTAGTTTTCAAGCGCTTGATTTTATTGAATGACCTATTCGACTAATAAGTCCCAATTACAGTACGACATCTCTCATGTTAGATGTGTTATACTCCTCTAGTTAATCGTAGTGAACGGGAAATATAAATTAGAGAATTCATTAATCTACCGGATTATTTGCATACTATTTTATAGAATAAACTTTTTTCCTCCCCCCACTTCTTTATAGGTTATTTTACTGATGGATTAGGTGTGCATACAATGGCCAGTTTTTTAAGTGGTTTCACTACATCTGTGTGCTCTTTGCCTATTGATATTGCAAAGACAAGAATTCAAAATATGAAAATTGTTGATGGGATTCCAGAATATAAAAATATGGGGGTAAGGAATTTCTCTGTTTTATTATTAGTTATAGATAGGATTCTATTTTAATTTTATCGACCATACCCTAAAACTTATGTTTTCTTCCTTTCTGGGCTATTTTGAATTGTGATAAAGTATGATGACGCAGTTTCGTGTTAACTTTCATGTTGTTTTGTCTATATATACGTTTGAAAGATAAGGAGGAATCAAAGCTTCTGAATTGCATTCTTAGACTATTTTTACAACTGCTCGTGTATTTTCTCATGGACTAGTTTTAGCAAGGATTTCATAATTCCAGAATACTACTCGATGTCTATTTTCATTCTCTTCACACAAGTCAACAAATTAAATTTGGAAGCAGTGATTGTTGAATTTTCCGATTCACTGTCAATTCAGCTGTCATTGTCTTGAAGTTAATTTCAGTATTTAAGCGGACAATCTAGACAGAATGAAAGAAGTAACAGAATGGTTTCGGTAAAAATTAATTTTGAAATGTTAGTTAATTTTTAGTATTGTGTTTCAACTGGAAAATCATTAACAGTATATATTCAGTCTTTTGTAGTGTCAATCTGCAACAAAAGGACCATGAGGGCAAATTCACCTAAAGCATCTTGATAAAATTCATCTAATTATCTTTATGAACTGCATGTCGGATAGAAGAGAAAATCTGAAAATTGAAATATGACAGATCAATTCAATCTGTATAATAATCAAATGGTGTCGGGGTCAACTAAGGGGAACGATATCGATTGGATATTAGAAATTGGATACAGATTCAGAATGCTTAGGTTTATTTCGGTTAGATAAGAACCTTTTTTCTTTCTGAGGACCTTATTAGACAGACAGACAGACAGACAGAGACACATAAACAAAGTTGCCACACTTCACAGTAATATGCAAAGAAAAAGTGGACAGCAGAAAAGTGATATTAAAGTAGACAACGTTGTGTGGGCGAACAAGCAACTTAAAAATAAAGATTATTGTGAATATTCAAGCTTCAGAATATGTCAAGTAGTGAATGCATCTACACCATGTCACTGAGAGTTCTCAACCATTGATTCCTATTGTTTTGATGATCCCAACCAGGCAGTCCACATCCACGACATGACTCAAACCAACAGTGAGAAACCTCACCGACTGGTGCCAGGTCTTTTTATGGCCACTGTGAACACTCTTTCAACCTAATCCAACTTCTCCTAGCATGACACGTCGATCTAGGCGGTGGCATGGCATCCACAGTACATGTCGAAGCCATTTCAGTTGATTAAAGTTTAAAACCTCATCAATAAACTTGACTAATACTCTTTGCCTGAGCTCGAAATTGCTCACATCACGATTCCACCAGATACATTTGATCGAAAACCTATAACCGCCTCATATCTTCTTCTTCTAACAGCTATGTCTGACACCCGTATAAAAGAACGGTACAAACTACAGAACAGTAAACTCGTTCCGTTTTTTCAGTCAGACACTGCCACAATACATCTTGGTCAATGAAGCTGAATGCCACGTTTAGGTCAAAAATATGGCAAAAGTCGACCGCTGGTAAATATGTCTGTGTTCCATAACTCATTGAGGATTGAAAGTCTGATCGATGTAACCTCTCCCATGTCTCAAGTTTGTAGTTCTCGAGTTCAGGTTACGTTTTGGATAACTGTGGATCTAAATTTCTTGGATATGATGGTTTCCGCAGGATGACTTATCTGCCTTCTTATAAATAGGGATAATTAGGGAAGTGGACCAGTTTAACGGCTCTATCTCTGATTCCGGTATACTAACTAGTACCTCTGTCACTCTAGTCAGCGATTTCCTACCTCGATCTTTGAGAACTTCAGGTGGTAGACTGTCAGGTCCTGCTGGTTTGCATCGTTTGAGGTTTGGTAGAGCTTTTTCAGCTTCGAAGAGGTTTGGAAGACTGGCATCTTCGTTTCATTCAGGTTCAGACTGGTTGTTGAGCATCTGAAGGGTTGCTGTGAGCCAGTTGAACTGTACTTCAAAGTGTTCTCACCGTTCTAGCCACCTTTCCTTGGAGGTTATCAGGTTACATTACGTTTCATTGATTGCTCTACCTCACCATCGTCTTTTTCTTGCCGTTGTGTTTAATAAGCTTGCTTTCGGCAGCTGCTTTTCGTTTTACCATTATCTAACAAACTTTTCTAGTATTGTAGGACTTTATGGGACCAAGTGTTTTAGTCAGTGCAGCTTGTTGATTCATTGTAGTATACATGAAGGTAGCAACTATCCACCGAGATCTTGATTACGAGATCAGTTGATGATACACTTGAATATAGGTAAAGCGATTAGTTACATTTCTTAAGTTCTAACCAATTCTTGTTTTAGACTTAACTATGGGTGAAATATTTACGTTACCAGCGCAACAGTGATCGAAGTCAGGAAATTTCTTAGGTGACCTAAGATGGAGCGATTCAAAGATTTTACACCTCAATTTTTTTAAAACTTAGATAATGAAATATAGTTGTTCCCTCAATGCAGTGTATAAGGCTCTCCATAACAAGAGTTATGTGTCACATGTAACGCTATGTGTTGTGCCATTGAGTGGACTCTATCATACTTTCTCCATTTTCTCTTATTGGCTTCAGGGATTTGATTATCAATCATAAAAGCATTATTCCAAATTCCCTTACGAAATGATGTTAACCTTCATATTATTTGTTTCACGTTAGTTCGTGTATTTTATATAACATGATGATAGCGCTTCTTACCGTAATGATATCAAGGTAATTATATATTGTAAAGCTCATTTCTACAGTCGATAGTATCTTATTTCATTTGAAGTAGTTGTTGGTTTCTCCGCATTCCTTCAATAGTCGTAGAACCATTCTTATTACTTGTGGTCCAGTGAAAAATGATCCCATAATCAATTTTTCCTTTGAAATGAATACATTCAATTTTAGAACTATCACTCTATCATCCACTGTAATTTGATTACAAATCTATATATGCAGGCCAGTATCGAGGCCTTACTTTGCAAATTACAACCTTATGAATTTCTTATTAAGTTCAGGTGGATAATAACCAATTAGCTCAGTGTCTTAGATGTGTTTGAAGTTCTTACTTAAGCCGCTTAGCTTACTAGTCACTGTTTTGCCTGGATTACTTCAACATTTCAGCCTATCTATGGTACGAGATGATGTTGTAAACGAAAATCAGTAGACTAGTATGATATATATAATTTGTGTATTCATCTGTGAATGATTCATTTCAATGTTTATGAGCTTTCATTTGCATCATTCATATCCAAGAGTGTCACACCTTCCTTTCTTTTATGAATGTTACCCCATTCCCTTAGTAGCCTACATCTCTCAAATTTCTCTGTGTAATTGAATCAATGATTCGTAGGGTTGTATCATAAAAATTCCTTTTAATTTCATAACGAATTTATGATCTATTATGATACATATGATTTTTTTTATTGTTCCTGTCCTTTTCGCCGTTTATTTTCTCAGGATGTTATTCTGCGCGTAATTCGTAATGAAGGTATTCATTCATTATGGAAAGGTTTCACACCGTATTTTCTACGTATTGGACCACACACCGTTTTGACATTTATCTTTTTAGAACAGTTAAACCGTGCTTACCTAATAAATGTATTAGGTGATAAAAGTGGTCAGCGTGCTGGAGGACTCTAACTCTCTGCCTTCTCTTTCTAAAGTCGTATTTATGCAAGATAAATCAAATGTCTACTGGTGCTTATCTTATTTGTGCAACATTCCTTATTATTTTTTTTCTTTGCTTCATAATTTGCTTAAGGTATATTTATTGCCCTTATTTTTTTGTATTTTCCAATAAAGTGTTATCTCATATTTTGTTGCAAAGCATACGAATATTAACTAGATAGAATAAGCAATATTTTTCAAGCCTTTATTGTTATTTTTCATTTTCTTTCTCCGGTTTATTCTTTTTATCTGAATGATTTGAAGTCCTCATCCTCTTTTCCTTACATATTCGTAATGATCTTCCTTGTTTACTTTTCTTGATGTTGAGAACAATTTCTATTTCATTTTAAAAGATCCCGCTTTTTTCGACTTCTTTATATTTGTACTAGTTAACTGTTGAATAATCATTTTAGTGACAATAGCTAGATGTTCTGATTTTCTTTTTTTCTTTCTTATTCTAAATATGTTTCCTATAAAACATCAGTAAACATTTTGTCTTTTTGTTTAAAAAACTAAATTTTATAGGTGTACATTTTTTTTGTCATTGTATTTATTCCAATGAATATCTTTTAAGAATGTTTTTTTTATAGTTCTTTTGTGAACATAAACTGCAAAAGTATCAAGTAAAATATTCTTCTTGATTTACTCCCGATGTTCTGTATTGAACTAGAATTCCTACAAGCATCTATTGATACTGATATACTCCAAATTTAATTGGGTGAATTACATTTTCTGACTAAACTGTTAACAGTAATACAAACGTTACATTACTAATATCAGGTAGTAATGATGTCTATCTACATCTCTGGCTTAACTACCAATAGATTAGAGAAGAAGTAATCGAAACAAATTTTTTTTTTTGCCGTTAATCTAATCTTAGTTACAGTTGTCAAAAATGTTTGTATATTCCCAGTATTTCCTGTAGTAATCCTAAAACATAGATGCTTTAGATAAGTGAAATGACATTCTCATCAGTTCTTTAGGATGTTAAAGTAGCAATTTAGATAAACTCAAATATCAGTAATCATTGAAAAGAATAGAATTTTACTAATGGGATAAAGACACGTTTTACAATACGATGACATAATTTTATTTCATACATTCTCTTCAGCTATATATAGCCTGAAAAATTGAGTATGTTCGCTTTATGTATAAGGTGTTCGTGCGTTAATTTCATATAAGCGTTAAACCTTGGGCACTATAGTAGAATATAATTTCATATTAGACTTGCTTATTCAATAGATAGCACACAGTGATATAGTATTATTCACTTGATGACGTTTCGAGCACAAATTATTGCTCATAAATCATATCAATGTAATCACACAACTTTCAGTATCTGGTTTTTCTAGTCCTATCATATCTTATTCTTTGATTTTGGTGGTAGTAAAATTTTCCATAGGAAAAAATAAATATTTTTTATTATTCCTCAACGTTTCGATCTTGCTAGGAAGATCTTTTTTAATTGAGTAATCATAAAGATGACTTTCTGCAACAAACTTGAATATTAACCTGAAAACCTAATGTCAGATTCATACTCTTGAAAAGGATCTTTTTAGGAAGATCGAGTTGTTAAGGAATAAAACGAAATATTTGTTTATTTTATCATACTATGCTGGGATGAAACAAGTAAAAAAAAGGTACGCCTTACATGACAAATCATACTAACTCGGTTCCTAAGTTTTTCCAAATCATCCAGTCCATTGTTGTCCAGGATACGTTCAATCGTTTTCTCCACCTAACTATATTAGGCTTAAGTACAGTGGTTTTACCCCCCACCTTATTGTATCGTTGTGTGTTAATGCATGCATTGCAATAGTCGAGTTTTTTTCTGGATGGCTAATCTCATTGGGTTACCATACTGTGTTACCATATAAAGAAGGTACATCAGGAACTGTACGTGGGATCCTCAAGAAAGCTGGAGTTAGGGTGGCATTTAAACCTACAAGCTCACTCAGAGATAGACTTTGTCGACCTAAGTATCCGGTAGAACCAATTCACCGACATAATCTAATCTATCAAATTCCATGTAATGACATTAAGGTCAAACTAGCCGATTAGGGTCAGTCAGATTAATGGAACATAGGAATTTAGGTAGATATAGAATGGTAGGTCCTAATAAGATCTAGGATCTAGATCTAGGAAAACTCAGGTATTGCAATGCATGCTGCAAACAATAGGGTGGGATGAAACCCATACGCTTAAGCCTAAAATAGGTAGAGTGAGGGATTAATTACTGAGTCTTTGTTCATCAAATCAATACCCAACACATGTTATGGAAATGACCCGACACCTGTACCGGAGATATGGAAGATTTTACTACCACTAAAATCAAAGAATAAGAGATGATAGGACTAGAAAAACCACATGTTGAAAGTTGTGTGATTACATTGATACGGTTATGAACAGTAATGTGTACTTGAAACGTCATCACGTAAACAATACTATATCACTGTGTGCTAAATATCAAATAAATAAATCTAATACGGAATTTAACTCTACCACAGTGTCCAAGGTTTACGCCTACATTAGTGAATTCCTTCTTCGCCTTGATACCCTGCGCTTGACTTATGCCTGTGCACCGTTCTTGGATTTTCTGTTCCCAAGCTCCAACAAAATATGTGGTCATAGAAGCTGAAATCTCAGACAATTTCGCCTGACTGACTTTCTTGTGGTGATCACAGTAGGATTTCTCTCCTTTCTTGAAGACCTTGGACGACAATCGGTGACTGATATTAGTCAGAAGGGATTATTTCTGACTTCTATACACTTATTAACAGTTTAGGTAATCGTACAAGGTGTATTCTGACTTGTGTAATCCCCGCGTAGTGTATTAGAATATATAATAAAATAAACAAATATTTTGTATTACTCCTCAATGTTTCAGCCAATCTGCCCAACAAACGTCTTTAAACACATTGGTACTAGTTAGTCTGACCTTACCTCCCTTCTTTGTTTCACCTCACTTACAGCTTTATCAACTTGTGTAAGCGTTTGAGGCTCTATCTCGGTGATCCATTCCAGGTCCAATAGGATAGCGTAGACAACGGAATAGTAACAAGTAACCAGTCGAACTGTTTCTCGAAGTGCTACGCCTATCATTTCAGCACTCCTAGACCCATTGTTCTCGGCTATGATCTCACTAAGCATTGATAATTTAGCCGCCGTTCCCTTGATCAGTCAGAATAACTCTCCAGTGTTCCTATCTCTTCTGCCTTCCCTATTCACCACTGTCCGCAGTCATTGCGCAAACTTCTCATCAGGCTACATTGGAGTTGTTTCCACTCCTCATTGTGCTCGCAGCATGTAGGAATGCGTCTAGTCAGGTCTGTCAGTTCAGAAGAAGCTGAGATCCATTGACATTATCTAACATCTTCATGAGAACTAGCTACGCTCCTTAAAGCTATTTCTACAGCAGGTTTGTGAATTAGACAAGCAGCGACATTTAATGCGTGAGGGTTATAAATAGTGCCTCCTTACCTACCCAAGCTTTGGTAGGTAGAATGCGGTTAAACGTAAATTGCCTACACCGGTGAACCATAGCTCCAACCCGATGACTCAGTTACGGCCTCACAACCGACTATGTAAACAAGTCAGTATTCAGTTAAATTACTTAGAAGAGAAAACAAACAGGTTAACGTAGAACCTCATATAAGTCGATCACCTTTGATTTCACTACAATTCACAATAGCAGATAGAATGAGAGACTCAAAAGCTCCCCCTATACAGACAGTTACATCATTAATTTAAAATTCGTGTCCCATAACATGCTAACTGATGACTAGTCAGATTTAATTCCAATACATTGCAAGTGTCTCTCATTATTCTTGTTGCTTAAGCAGGTTAGGCTGTATGACACGATCGCAACACTCGACCTTCAATTACCCAAACAAATAGATCAACACAATAAAATTCAATAATGATCAAAATGAATCATCATTAGAAATAATTATCATCTCCCGCACAACGTTTTCATTCAATCTTTCAGTTCATATTTTCCCAAAACACCCTCAGATCAGTTTTGATGGTTTATCTTAAACACCACCCTAACAGACTTGGAAAAACTAGATCTCATATAATCTGACTAATTTCCAACGGACGCACTGTTGACACTACACTTGAGCAGTGAAACAACTACTACTCTACAATAAATGTCAATATGGATCATGAGAGTAGTAAATAATTTTCAAACTGATCATTGAGGAATTCTGAAACCTACAGATAGCAATATCTTAATAATAAAGGAGAGAAATAAGTCAAGTATTTGACATTCAGTGAATGAATAAATCATCATCTGACTTTCTGAGATAGGTGTAGTTTGGCAGTATAGTATTTATAGTGGGTCGGGCAAAACCCTTGATGATTGGATTGAAATAAAAAGCTGGTCAGCAGTCGGACCTCGTAGCTCAGTTAGTAGTGCACCGGGACGGTAACCCGATGGTCGCTGGTTCAAATCCGGCTGTGGTCCAGATTCTCATCTCACTTTCAGTCATCACCAAGTATAAATCAATAAATCACTTTTTCAGAGGAGATAATTTATCCACTTTCCATTAAGTACACATGAGGATTCTGAAACTACAAACTTGTACAAGCAGAACTTAACTAGGCGTTAGAGAGATTTTTACAATTTCTCCAAGCTGTAAAAGTTGACCAAAAGCAAACTGACCCTGAGTAGATTGCAAAGAATCCTTCATTTCTGATAACTGATAGAAGAACCTGGAAGCTATTGCTTTGAATGGCACCAGCACCAGCACCACCAACACCTATCAGATAAAAACATGGGGAGAAATCAAATAAATAAATGGTTACATAGATGAATTAGTAGGATAATGAAGGCTACTTCAGGCTTAGAATAAACTGAGTTCATCTTAACCGATGAACAATTCAAGTCACAAACTAAATTCATGTGAACCATAAACAACTACTGTTGACAATTGTTAAAATACTTCAGTAAAATTAAACACCTGAAGAGT